TGGGTCGCATCCTGGGGGACAAGATTAAGGACCACAATGGAAATAAGTTAGACAGTCCTCGATGACGCACTGACTTTCTTTGGTTATCCTGGGTGGCTAACCCTCCGGGGTTAAAAATCCGAACGAAATCTCTCTCTTATGGATAGAACGTTTCAAGAGCAAGATTAAGTAGCATTACTTGCTCGAAATGCACTGCATGCTAGTGGTTTTCTTTTGTGCCTAACAATATTTTATTACATGTAAACTACATTAATTGTATACTATAATGAATAAAGTATTTTTGTTAGTACTGCCGGAGCCGGGCAGTAGTGACATCCAAGATTCTGCTTATTATGTTGGATGCACCAAAGATATGTGGCTCCTGCATGATAGTAATTGATGGACTGCCTGGTGTCAACTGAAGTTCTTTTCCTATTATCCTCAAACTATTGTACTAGCTGACAGCCCAAAATTGTAATATACTCCCTCCTTGAAGGAATATATTTTTTTTTCAACAAGTCGGCCATCGCTCACCGAGGCAGGGTGATCCAAAAAGAACATCCCCAAAAAGAAAATACTTTAATCATCATTCAACACTTTCACCTCATACATATCTGGAGTTTACCTGGAGAGGATTTCGGGGGTCGATGCCCCCGCGGCCCGATCTGAGGCCAGGCCTCATGGTGGATCAGGGTCTGATCAACCAGGCTGTTACTGCTGGCCGCACGCAAGCTGACGTACGAACTACAGCCCGGTTGGTCAGGTACTGACTTTAGGTGCCTGTTCAGTGCCTTCTTGAAGACAGCCAGGGGTCTATTGGTAATCCCCCTTATGTATGCTGGGAGGCAGTTGAGCAATCTTGGGCCCCGGACACTTATTGTGTTGTCTCTCAGTGAACTCGTGGCGCCCCTGCTTTTCATCGGGGGAATGTTACATCTCCTGCCGAGTCTTTTGCTTTCATATGGAGTGATTTTCCTATGCAGGTTTGGTACCAATCCCTCCAGGACCTTCCAAGTGTATATTATCATGTATCTCTCTCGCCTGCGTTCGAGGGTATACAGATCAAGGACCTTCAACCGTTCCCAGTGGTTTAGGTGCCTTATCGCACTTGTGTGTGCCGTGAAAGTTCTTTGTACACTCTCCAGGTCTGCAATGTCGCCACCCTTGAAGGGGCCGTTAATGTACAGTAGTATTCCAGCCTAGAGAGCACAAGCGATTTGAGGAGAATCATGGGCTTGGCATCCCTAGTTTTGAAGGTTCTCATTATCCATCCTTTCATTTTCGTAGCAGATGAGGTAGATACATTATTGTGGTCTTTGAAGGCGAGATCCTCTGTCATTATCACTCCCAGGTCCTTCATATTACTTTTCCGCTCTATTGTATGGTTAGAATTTGTGGTATACCCTGACACATTTTTAATTTCTTAGTTTTCCATATCTGTAGTTGAAATTCTCCTGTGAATCTATGTTTGATGGCCATTCGAAGTTGGTTATGTCGCTGAGTCGCGTTCGACGTGGGTCACTGCCATGTATCGGTGTTCTCCAAAGGAGACTGGAGCTGCTTACATCTCTGTAGTCAAAATTGAGGATGATTCTTTGTATTAACAAGGGGGAGCGCTAAACTGGAGGATATACAGCGCCAGGGGTGGGGGGGGGATGTGGAAGGCATTCAGGCTTAATTCGGAACTGGAGACAGATGCAATCCTAATCAGAGCCTCACAACATCGACTTCTTGAGGGAAATGAGGATGAGGAATAGAATGGGAGCGAGTACTGTGCCTTGTGGAACAGAACTTTTTACCATGGCTGCCTGGGACTTTACTTTGTTTACTATTACTTTTTGTGTTCTATTTGTCAGGAAGTTATAGATCCATCTACCAACTTTTCCCGTTATTCCTTCATCCCGCATTGTGTGCTGTTACACCATGGTCACACTTGCCGAAAGCTTTTGCAAAGTCTGTGTATACGGGCTGTGGCTCGTACGTTGGTTTGCGTGCAGCCAGCAGCAACAGCCTGGTTGATCAGGCTCTGATCCACCAGGAGGCCTGGTCACAGACCGGGCCGCGGGGGCGTTGACCCCCGGAACTCTCTCCAGGTAAACTACATCTGCATTTTGCTTATCCTCTACAGCATCCAGGACCTTGTCATAGTGGTACAGTAGCTGGGACAGGCAGGAGCGACCTGCTCTAAACCCGTGTTGCCCTGGGTTGTGTAAGTGATGGGTGGGTATCTAGGTGGTTGACGATCTTGCTTCTTAGAACCCTCTCAAAGATTTTTATAATATGGATGTTAGTGCTATCGTCTGTGTTCCTTACAATGCTTTACTGGCACCTGTTGGAGTGGGCTGTGTGTTGTTTAAGGTTGGAGACTCAGTGTCCATGCCCCTCCCAAATGCTGAAGCACACATAGGGCTCCTGCAGTTTTTGATGAACACGGAGTTCACGATCTGGGCTGGGGCGAGTCATGGCATGTAATTAATTGCCTCTTCAAAATTTGTGGAGTTATAATATATCCGAAGTTTTGGTGACCAAATTTTGGTTTCGTTCTAAAGAATCACTGTTTTTGCGAGGCACCTGTACACAGTTAGAAGCTATTATATAATTATATATTATATATATTATATATTATATCATATCATTTTAGTTCGCTATCAAAACTGGGGGCCCAGTCCTGGACCATTACTCTCTGTAATCTTTAATACTTTGTAACTTGTCATGATTTGACCAGATTGCCTGGAGTTCATACCTTTGTAAATTGTGAGTTCATTACCTTTAAATTGTGAGTTATTACCTTTGTAAATTGTGAGTTCTTACCTCTGTACTGCTCAGCTATCAAAACTTTGGTGTCAGTCCCTGACAATTATCCCCTCTGTATTTTTGCTACCGCCCACAGGATGGGTATGGGGTCATAATAAAATATTAAACTAACTAATATATATATATATATATATATATATATATAATATATATATATATATATATATATATATATTATTACATAATATGGTACAGAAGATTTAAGAGATACATTGTTGATATAAAGGTGGCATATACGGTCCATGTTGTTACGTGTGTATCACCGATTATAAGGCGAAAATCTCATCCAGCTCCTCAGAGCTGGGGCGTGTGCCCAAAATACAGCAGGCATTACCCCTTTGAACAGCCGCACTGAGCCGCTGGAACAGAAAACTAGCTGCCCTGGGATCCCTATTTTACCCTGATGAGTCTTTTTCCCAGCTCCTTAAGGAATTTAGATGCACTCTTTCCCCATGAGCCAAGGGTCTCTGAGCCTATGGGAACAAACATATAATGATGGGCAAGTTCTCCATATTTTCTAGACTTTTGGGACTCCCTGAAGCTGGCAGCTGCCCTTCCTTCTTCCCTGGTGTATTGGAGATAGGTATCAGCCAAGGTAGATGCACATGTATAGTCCCACACCACCTGCTTCCCATCTGTCCAGGCTTGAAGGGTGATACCATCTGGACGCTTCTGGTATATAATATATCATATATATATATATATATATATAATATTATATATATATATATATATTCATATAATATATATATATATATATATATATATATATATATATATATTTTTTCATATAGTCGGACTTGAGTCCTGGAAATGGGAAGTACAATGCCTGCACTTTAAAGGAGGGGTTTGGGATATTGGCAGTTTGGAGGGATATGTTGTGTATCTTTATACGTATATGCTTCTAAACTGTTGTATTCGGGAGCATCTCTGCAAAAGCAGTGATAATGTGTGAGTGTGGTGAAAGTGTTGAATGATGAAAGTATTTTCTTTTTTGGGAACTTTCTTTTTTTGGGTCACCCTGCCTCGGTGGGAGACGGCCGACTTGTTGAATATATATATATATATATATATATATATATATATATATATATATAATATATATAATATATATAACATATCCCTCCAAACTGCCAAATCCCAAACCCCTCCTTTAAAATGCAGGCATTGTACTTCCCATTTCCAGTACTCAAGTCCAGCTATATGAAAATAACCAGTTTCCCTGAATCCCTTCACTAAATATTACCCTGCTCACACTCCAACAGCTCGTCAGGTCCCAAAAACCATTCATCTCCATTCACTCCTATCTAACACACTCACACACGCTTGCTGGAAGTCCATGCCCCTCGCCCACAAAACCTCCTCTATCCCCTCCAACCTTTAAGAGGACAACCCCTACCCTGCCTTCCTTCCCCTCCATGTCATTCTACTTTGATCCATTCTCTCTAAATGACCAATTACGTACTTCTGTAATCTGTAAATACCTTTGTAACTTGTCATGATTGTGACCAGACCTACCTGGAGTTCATTACCTCTGTAACTTGCTCAGCTATCAAAACTTTGGAGTCCAGTCCCTGGACCAATTAAGTACCTCGGTAATCTTTTGACTACCGCCCACAGGATGGGTATGGGGTGTATAATGAACATATTAAACTAACTGACCAAACCACCTCAACAGTCCCTTATCAGCCATCTGGCTAATACTTTTATTAACGCCACACCTTCTCCTAATTTCCACATTCTGAATTTTCTACATATTTACACCACACATTGCCCTTAGACAGGACATCACTGACTCCAACCACCTCCTCACTGCAGCATTTACAACCCAAGCTTCACACCTAGTTTATGTTCTACCATGCATCTGAAGACCAATGTGAGATAGAATCCCAGATTACTCTGACTCCACTGTCTACAATCTTACCATACCGCTACACAAATAACTCGTGCATGTCATTGGTTCAAATCGGAACTAAACGGCATTACATCCCCTCTCCTAAGTGCGGGTTATTCGTGTATTGTTCCAGCCTCGGTATTGTGACTATTTATTGTTCTACCATACCTGTATTTGGTATTTTATATTGAAGCAAGTGTGAAGGGTTGGATTAGAGAAGAACCCAGCTAGCATGGACCAGTAACTCTACCCAGTGTTCCTCTATTATGTTACTAATTGTATGTGATAATTAATGTTGGTGATGTGGTTGCAGAGTTCACTGTTAACGTGGTCGCAGACACCGTTGAGTGACCCTTCAGCGCTGCAGGTGCTGGTGCTGGTGGTGGGAGGTCTCATAATCACAGCCTTCATGCTCATACTCTCTCTGAAGTTCCTCGGTGAACTCGTCACCTGAGATTCTTCTACAAGGCTCTTCACCCGAGACTCTTCTACAAGGCTCATTATCTAAGGTTGAGGTATAGTAATCAGGAGTAAGATCTAAACCCATTCAGCTCCTAGGAAACAGTAGGTAAACATGTTTGCTCCAGGTCTGTGGATCACCAGCCCTTCAGTGTCAAATTCTTGGTTAAACATAGCATTATAGCCAAAAAGCTCCTCAGAGGTTAATGTAGTCTTGTATCACGAGCTATTTTAATTTATATCGCTGTAATGACCCATACAAGTTAGGCACTTGATTTTTAACAATAATTTAGATACCAAAGTGCTAAACCCTTAGAATTGCAGTTCATTGCTAAATTCATGGGGAAAGCATCAAGCCCTTAGGGGACATAAAGTGCTCGTCATGGCATTATGTCAGGTGAGCGCTCCGGCACAGTTAGAGAGTAACTGCTTCTTTAACACAGTTACGATATGAACTGATGTCTTCTTCGAGGGCCAGGCTGAGGATTGCAGCAGATGTTAACTCGACACCACCACCAGCCTTGAAATGCTGCACCCAGTTCCTCACTGAACGCTCATACACACCAACGTTCTCCACTATTTCTTTCGTCTGGTGCCCAGTTTTATGAAGCCCTATGATTTGAGCTATAGTTACAGGTGTTAAAGACTTCCTTTTACCCATAATCAAAGATGTATAGCCCCAAAACCAAAGGGAACACTGGACAAAAGACGGGGCAGTGCGAGAGACAATAGTGCAACACTTCCTCTCACCACGGCAGCCACATGACCAATAAGAAGTCACTATGAAGTGTGGCAGCAGGCCAAGACGTCATGCTGATGGCTGCTACCCAGCAGAATTCACTGATGATAAAAGACCCCCTGTATGGTAGGCCTTTGATTTTCATCACAGCATTGTGCCAGAGCACTCGCCCGGCATAATGATGTGACGAGCACATAAGTGCCTAGTGAATGACTCATGTTTTATCAGAAAGAAGGGTAGTTCACATTGCTTACATCAAGAGCCCCTCACCAGAAGGGAGAATTGTAGGTCAGATTACTGCTCTTTACAAGAAAGTTGGTTCTCACCTGTGTGCATGCTACATCATTACTGTAGAGTTCAGATATTCCTCAAGTGGAAACACTAGTACCATATTGGAAACTTTTCGGTCCTAGAACCTTAGCCACTCCCAATATCCCCACTCCAAAACTTTTACAATGAATGTCTTAGTGCTTGTATTTTCTTGAACCAACTACTTGTATTTATTATTACAATCAAAAAGAACCGCTAAGCCACAAGAGCTATACATTGCTGACCAACTACTTGTAGATAACCATTTTTACCGGCATTCCTGGCTAACCCAGCCCCCAGTACACAAAACTGTATGATAACGGTATACAAGAACTTAGTGGTCATACATGCTGCAGCTAGGCTTGCCCTTAAGTACGAATTTAGCTATTTATGGAGTGTCGGCAGACGAGAGGTAAGCATCACCATTGAATACTAGTGTTTATGTAAACCAGTTCAGCACCAGTAGGAAAATTAATACACCACAATTATGTAAACTAATGCAGCACCAGTTGATTAACTAATTTCACCCAACCAGTCTTGTGGTTTAGCACTTCTCTTTGATGATAATAATCACCCAACCAGTGCAACACCAGTAGGGAGTACTATACTAGTTCAGTATATGAACTAGCACAGCAGCAGTATTTAAACTCAGTATTTCTGTACATCAGTCCATCGATAAACTTGTGCAACATCAGCAGGTAAACTGGTCCATTTCATTATAACAGCAGGGAAGAGCTAAACCCATAGTGGGTCATACAACACCTAGGATGCATTTAGGTTTGATTCAGATATGCAGAGAAGTCTTTTCCTGAATCAAAAGCCCCTCACCAGATCAAGGACCCTACTTGGAAGGGTAAACTGGTGCAGCACCAAGAGGTAAACTATTAATATGAAAGTTTAATTACTGATATACTGTATTAGTTTACTTACTGGTGCCACATTAGTTTACCCACTGATGCTAAACTAATATCTGTGGTGCTATACTGGTTTCCCAACTGGCACTAGAGTAGCTTACCGAGTCTAAACTTAGTTATTTTTCAGTAGCTTACGTTTATTATAATCAAGGGAGAAGTGCTAAACCCATAGGATTATACATAACCTGAGAGAGGGGAAGGGGAGAATGGAAGGTATTCAGGGAACTGGAGCACAGATCTAATTCCCTAGATCAAGAGCCCCTCACCAGTGTCAAGGAACCTTCCTTGAGGAGAGCTTACATTTAGTGGTAAGTTTACTACTGCTCTTGTCCTAATTTACTTACTAGATATACTGTCACCCATTGGTGTTGCATTAGTTTACATAATGCATCATTAGGTAGCCTTGGAGATCCTGTGATAATGTATATTTCCCCGATCATTTGCTCCCTCATCCTTCACATGTATTTTGCACCCACAATATAATATACATCACTGACATATGGATTATCAAAGCCTTTGAAGTCTAGTTTTTTTTTTTTAACTACTGTTACTCCAAATGTATGATGGATTGAACTTTAAAGTTTAGCTATTCAAGAAAATGGCAAAACTGTTATAATAACTAAGATGAAGCACTAAAGCCTCAGGGGTCATACAGGGCAGGGAAGGTAATGATGTTTGATCAAATGGGAAGATATATCCACTTCTTAGATAAACCCCTCAAGGGAGGTTCCTTGATGCTGGTGAGGGGTTCTTTAGCTAGGGAATTTGATCTGTGCTCCAGTTCCTTGAATTCCTTCCACCCACATGCACCATATATTATTATTATTATTATTATAATCAAGGGGGAAGCGCTAAACCCGGAGGATTATACAGCGCCTGGGGGGGGATGTGGAAGGCATTCAGGCTTAATTCGGGGAACTGGAGCACAGATCCAATTCCCTAAATCAAGAGCCCCTCACCAACATCAAGGAACCTTCCTTGAGGGGATGCACCATATAATCCTACAGGTTTAGTGCTCCCCATTAATATAGTCTTATATCAAAAGTTCCTATGTCAAAGCATTGTAAAGTGGATGGATTTTATATTTGATGGAAGCACTAGATCTGTATGGGTCAGAACTCACGAGAAATGAAAGGAAAGGAAGAATGGGAGGCAATCACGTTCAATCCAGTATAAGTCCAGTTCCACAAATCAAGTCATATACTGGCTCATCAGCAGAAAGTGAAGGGTGAACGTAGAAAAGTAGCAATCAAAGTTCAAAACCATTGTAGTCCATACCTGGGTAAATGGGAGGCATTCGGCTCACTCCCCTCAGGAAGGTTCCTGAAGTTTGGTGAGGGCTCTTGATTTAGGGAATTGGATTTGTGCTCCAGTTCCCCGAATTAAGCCTGAATACCTTCCACATCCCCCCCCCCCCAGGTGCTGTATAATCCTAAGGTTTAGGCTTTCCCCTTTATTTTATATATACTAATCAGGTTCACCCCAGGAAGGATAATCCTTTTCAGGTTCCCTTTAAGTTAAAAACTCTTCACCGACTTATCACTGAAGTCAAAGAACCTCCCTTGATGGATACAGGTTCATAGCTCCAACAACCATTATTTTAATTAAAGCCAAGTGTTAAACCCACTAAGATCATATAATGTTGCTGGATCAAAGTATTATCAAAAAGCACTAAACCTAGGAGGATCATGCAGCACAGTCAGGCAGGGGTATAGAGTAGTAAGAGGGAGGTAGAAAGGACTGAGGAGTGCTAAGTTCCATTTCTGGACTATTTTGCTGCAATAGCTACCCACCTTCGCACCCGTTGGCAACAACGTTGGTCAACTCTGCTCGGTAACAAACTTCATTCTATTAAACCGAGCATAGGTTATTGGCCGTCATCTTGTCATCAGTGCCGAGGTTGGGAGACCACTCTCTCCCGCCTTCCCATTGGCCACACTCGTCTTACTCCTGGGTATCTCATGGAGAGGCACCCTGTTCCTCTCTGTGAGCAGTGTCAAGTTCCAGTATCGATTAGCCACTTTGTTAGACTGCCCTATCAACGAGCACGCAGAATTTACCTCCAATGTCGTCTTCGTTCTACTACTCTCTCTTTACCTTCCCTTCTTGCTGATGGACCCTCCTTTAATCCTGACTCTCTCATTGACTTCTTGACAACGACTGATTTACTCCACAAACTCTGATGATACTTTTCGCACTCCCCTCAGCCCTTTCTAGTTCAGTCTCTTACTGCCCTTTACCCTATCGCCATCCACTACCCCGCTGTTATCCGTAACCTATTATTCATCCATCTCCCTTTTGCCACCTGATGCCCTCGCTTCCTTCCTGCCCTGCAGCGCTGTATAGTCCTTGTGGCTTAGCGCTTCTTTTTGATTATAATAATAATGAGGAGTGCTAAAGGAGGTATTATCAGTGTGTAATAAATTGGTTGCTGTCAAAGGTGGGGCAGCGCTGTATAGCCCTTGTGGCTTAGCGCTTCTTTTTGATAATAATAATGTCAAAGGTGGGGCCATGAGCAAGGAGGAAAGATGAAGGGTGTTAGAGCAGTGATAAAATCAGAGGTAGATTCTGAGTGCTTTTTGATAGACGAGTCACAATGAGACAGCCTATCAACAGACTATGCCAGGGCGGATAGAGGGTAATCAAATTTAATCCAAGGAAAGAGGGTAGCTCAGTCTTTGGATGAAAATTATTATAAAAAGTGCTAAACGACAAGGGTTATACAGTACTGCTATGGATAAGCCTTTTACCAGAACTAAGACACCTACTTGAAAGGCAAGATTTTTCCTAGAACCAACAGAACTCATGGGTATCAAACAAGAACTAAATATTTTTGTGTATACAACTATTTGAATAAACATTATGCAAAGGATGAGGCTTGAAATTTGGAATGGCCTACCTGCCAGTAGCACTACAATATAAAAAGTTGGCAATAGTGGCTCTAAGATGCTATCTGTTTTGTTGAGTACAGCAACTGCATAAATTTTCAAGCGACTGCAGCAGGTATAGTTCTTGAAGAAGTGAGATTGTAGGTAGCAAATCTTGTTAGTAGTTGATGGGAAAGGCTTCTAGGATATGCCAGCTACTCTGATGCAGGTAAATTATTACCCCCTCAGTAAGTTAGCTGCAAATATAATTTTGGGGAGAAAGAGCTAAGTCATAACACCTGGGAAAATTGGAAGTAATCAGGCTTAATGCAAGGAAGAGGTCAGGTTCAATTCCTTAGATCAGGAGTCCCTCACCAGCATCAAAAATCCTATCACAAAGGGATACAAACAATAAAAGCACAGAAGACAAGAAAAAAAATCACATTTAATTAAAACAAATATATATAGCAATATTCTTTCAGAACAGGACTAGTAAATAAGTAACTACACTGCCAATTTGTTGTCGCCTCAACCATCCATTTGAGCTAATTTTATTTGTACATGTATGCATCGTTAAGCATCTGCCACCAAGTAGAGAGTACCATTCAACTGGAGATCTCATGCCTTCTTGGGGACTGTTGCAGTGTATGACCCAAGATTCCAGGTGGTCAAATTCAGATCTCATGACCAACAAACAGATCACTAATACAAGATAAATGTAGTGAAAATAAAAATAAGGATGCATAATGTGATTTTTTTTAAAATATATATATATATATATACTGTATATATGTATTTTCTGTTTTGTGAACATAAAATATTCAAAATTTTGCCTATGTAACATGTTAATAAATATAATGCAAATATTAAAATATTTTCTTTATCCATGACATAATTGTCTGCAATGGCAGGGCAAGTGAACAGGTACAGTACAAATTAAAACTTAACCTACCACATACAAGACATTTACAATATGAAAATTAATGCAAATATGAAATCCCAACTGTACACTTAAGTTTTATGCAACTTCCATGGCACAAGCACTATTGCTGGTCTCCATCGATAGGACAGGTTTCATGTCTGATGAATTTTGGGAGGTAGAGGCCCCTTCACTTGCATTTTCTGAAGGAGGGATATTTTCAGCGTCCTTAGCATCATCCCAATCAATTTTAAATTTTGTGACACGTGGCTGAGACCCCAAGATGTTTCTTTGTAGCTGCAATGTAAAGAAATGTCATGAAAGCACTTGATGGCAAATAACTATACAAATCTAAAGTAAAAGGAAGGAGGGGGCAGGGTTTCACAAGGGAAATAAAGGAGGCAGAATGTTAGATCGAGCATCCAACTAACATTTATGAGCGTGTTAGATTGGAGTGAATGGTGAAGAGTGGTTTTTATGGCTTGATGTGCAGTTTGAGCAACTTTTTTTTTTTTAGGTATCCCTGCCTCGGTGGGATACAACCAGTGCATTAAACAAAAAACTAACACCTGCAGTCTTCCAAGGTAAAATAAATTTTTTTTTTTTTTTTTTAGAAGTCAGCCATCTCCCACTAAACCTAGTAGGGTCACACAGCACAGATCCCAAGGTAAAAACTACCCAAAAAAAGAAATTTTCACCAGCATTTGCTATCTAAATCTAAATTCATTTTGTGCATTTAATCACTAAAATGAACAGATAAGTCTTTTATTCACCACCTAAGTTTGTGCCTATGAAACCCTCTAGATGTATACTTCACATTCATGAACTTAAGTGCTGCTGAACTCTAGCCTCACCTTGTCAAACTGTGGTACATCTGGTGGGTTTTCCTGTAGTTCAGGATCTGTGTAAGAGTTGTTGACGTAATAACCAACACGCACAAACTCCTGCCCCTTATATCCACATGTTAATAGCACAACAGTAACACCAACAGCATCCCCAACAGGAATTTTATTTTCATCTGGAGGATCGGCCTGAAAAGAAGCACTGAATATTTAATTACCTGCATTTGCCACTAGCCACAAAAATTGCATTTCCATTAATCCTTAAACTGTCCAAATGTAGATCTACGTTTGCACACACAGTGCTCCAACCTTGATTTTCTCCGTAAGAATGTAAAAAAAAAAAAAAAAAAAGTAGATCTACACTTGGACAGTTTAAGGGTTAAAGTGAGGTAACCAAGACCAAAAATATTAAGTAATTCATGTGGCAAGAAATAAGTTCAGTTTATCCTGTTCAAACTCTCATTTTAGGAAACACAAGGGATAATGGATGTACAAGCTGATCCAATTTTACTTACACTATATAATATTGCTTTAAAAGAAAAAATTTTAGGTGGGACAAATGGGGTCAGTTCATATAAAAAAAATACTTTCTGGATACCAATTACTAACATTACATATTAACATTTGCAATTAAGAATATTTTGCTATGTATTTATTGGCAACTCTGGTATAATTGATTGCAGTCCAGGTAATCTGACAAAGTTCCTCATCTATGACATTAAAAACTATTCCAAAATCACCTAGGGAAGCTACATTTAGTGCTATTGCTATTTCATTTTGAAGGAGCATAGCTTTCTTTCCAGTTTTTAGGGGTGATTTAGACCTTCCAGCAAAATGCTACTACAATTTTGTTTAAGGTATCTTCCTCGTTTCAATGCATTTCTGTGACATACCTCTTGACAATGCTACCAAGACACTTGCCAGAGTATTGCATCCTTATGGTCTACTCACGTGTGCACACCATTCAATAGCAAGAGGAACTGATCTAAATGAAATGCTGTATGACCTTAAACAGTTAATACTGGAGGTCTCAAATGCCCCTTCATGTGGTCTTGTTTGAGCCTTACTACAAACTTTATTATAAACTTAAATATCAGCATACCCCTAGGTAAGCTAACAGCAAAGAAAGGGTAAGTTGTGGTCATTGGATCATGGAATTTTTAGTAAATTCTGGAAGACTTTGACAGTCAGTACCTAAGATTTTAGGTACTGAAAAATCATTCAAGTTACATTTCAGTAATAAAATTCTGATCTTTAATTTTAATACATCAATTTATGCTAATTTATTTAAACTGTGCAGGGCTCAAATTAGTTTAAAAACCATTTTCTCTACCTGGTCTCGACTGCCTCTTCGTGGTCCTATTTGCCCCCAACAGAAAAGCAAAAGACTCAGCAGACGATGCAACATCCCCCAATGAAAAGCAGGAGTGCCACTAGCACGTTAAGAGAACACAGTAAGTGTCAGGGGGCCCAAGACTGTTCAACTGCCTCCCAGCATACATAAGGGGGATTACCGATAGACCCCTGGCCGTCTTCAAGCAGGCACTGGACAGGCACCTGACCAGCCGGGCTGTGGTTCATATGTTGGATTGCGTGCGGCCAGCAGTAACAGCCTGGCAGATCAGGCCCTGATCCACCATGAGGCCTGGTCACAGACCAGGCCGCGGGGGCGCTGACCCCCGGAACTCTCTCCAGGTAAACGCCAGGCTAGACAAAACATTTCAAGTCAAAAGCGCATTTTTTTTTTTTAAATAAAACAATCATGATCCTCAAGTGTTGGGTATCAAGTCTCTTCTGGAGAAAAGTATAATTAAGAACATGATATACATTTTAGATACATACAATAGTTCCTTTAAGATGCAAGTTAATTGAAATTAGTGTAGACTAACCACACTGAACAGGCAAGGTGAAGTAATACAGGAGTAACTGGCCTAGACACACCAATGCCACATTTACTGTCTATCCACCCATACAGAAAGAATAAAAATTCTGTGGTTGGAACACTACCCAAATAACCCGTGTATAAGAGAAACTTACGACGTCGTTTCTGTCTAATTTGGACTATTAATTAGTCACTCATATGATAGTGTACAAATCAACTAACACTAATAACCTGCACTTAGGAAACTCATGAAGACATTTCAGTCCGAACATTGTCATGGGATTCGGTCTCCCAAGTGGGGGTTATTTGCATATTGTTCCAGCCATGGCATTATGACTATTCAATTCTACACAAGATGTGTCTCAACAGCAACCCACCAGTGGCAAAGATCCAGATTAAAGTACTCTACCTTTCACACAAATTTTGTAACCAGACTAAAAAGTCTAACTGAAGAGCTCAATTTAAAACAATGGAAAGTGTTGAAGTGGCAGCATTTCAGTGTCACAAGGTCGGGCATTATATGATTAAAATCATCACAGAATTTTCCACAGAATAGTTAAACAAAAAGCAAACTAGGAATGATCATTTACAAAAAATCTATACATTTGATAATAGAAAATAGGTAGCATTAAGGATCAACTGGCAAGTCTAATTTTCTTAATGTATAAGGTTTTTCCAGATTTGTAGTTCTGGAGGTTTATATTGACAAAGATTATAATTTCAGATATCTGAGTTCTGAAGTACAGATTCATCATAGTACAGTACTTCACTGTACAATACAGTAATAGCATTCAAGACCATTTTCCCACAAATGATTAAATTATTTTAGTCAATATCAATTCTGTACATACCTGAAATACAAACATATGTTTACCCTCTGGTACTGGACCAACATATACAGTGTCAAGAGTCTGGTCGTAGTTCTCGCTCTCCGCACTGCCTACATAAATTATTTTCCATTCCAGATCTGAAATGAATGAGGATGTTACAGAAACTTTGCATTTTTAAACATTATATAGTACAATGCTTGAGCCAATAGTGTGAAACCTTTAAATAGAATACAGAAGCTTTGGTAATACATTTCACAAAGCAGAAGCATTTCAATACTGTATACCAAAAAGTACCACCATGTCTGTTAAATACTACCACAAAATGGTCACAGGTTTTGACTTATTTTCAGCTAAGCATACACATTTTTCATAATAAATGAATTTAATTTGTACTGTACAAATTAGACAATCTAATGTGTACAATGTCTTTCATAATGAATAAACTTTCTGAGGCTTATAAGTTGTGTTGACAATCTCCTTTTGTCTGACAGGTCACTCTTAAATTTTCCTTGACAGGACTTAACTAAACTTCAGAACAATGGTAATATATTCCCAAGCTGAGTAACTTCATATGCAGGGTCACATGTGAGGTCATCTCAGATTTGCAGTCTTCTGTTTTATCATTTCTGCTGATCCTTGATTAATGTGAGAAATCACAAAAAAGCTTGGAATAACTTTCATTGTAGTCATGTGGAGCATTTACATATGCACATTTATTTAACACTAGTATGCATCTGCACAATTTTATTTTTTTTACAAGTGTGCATACAACAGATGGGGAGTCCACCTCTAGTGCAAATTGTTGGAACCCACAGCCTTGGAGTAATTAAAAAGACTGAGAAAAATATTTGGATTTCTCCCTGAAGCTGTTTGAATACAGTATTACTTTTACCACCACGTTTTTTGTTTTTAACTAGATAATTGAGTACATTTTATGTAATATGGTATGCAGTTTAAAAGTTATACTGGTGGTACTGTACAAAGATGGAGTACACAATACATGCTGTTTCAGAGATACATTAAAAGTAGATACAACTGAATGTCAAAATTTACATTACAAATATCTCGTCAGCTCCTCAGGTCTTACAGCAGGCATTACCCCTCTGAACTGCAGCACTGAGCTGTTGTAACAGAAAACTAGCTGCCCTAGGATCATCATATACAGTGGTCCCTCGAGTTATATTTATCTGTTCCAGAAGACACATCGTACCTCAAACTCCAAAATGCGTGGTTTTATAGTAATTCGTTCCAAGACACCAGAATACACTGAGCCTGCTCTTAGCTTTAGCTTGAACCCTTTCAGTGGCCATCATGTAGAGCTATGTTATTGAGACCAGGGTCCCTCATGTAGTTCTACATCATGACCTCAGCGCATTCATGAGCAGTGAGAGGTAAATTTGGCCTAGATATGAGAGAATGGAAATGCACAGTAAATGTGCACAGTATAAAAAAAAACCATGCAGTGCATGATGGGAAAAGCAGAAATGACCATGTATTTGGTTTAAAATAGCAAATTGAGGTGTTTTCTACAATGGTTTTTATAGTTTTCCCAGTCATGACTAGAAGTAGCTTGCAATTGGGCTCAGAAGCAGAAATAAATCTATTCTTGACAATTTTACTAAAAACAGGTAAGGCCCTCTACACCCCCTCCCCAGTCTGCTATGAGTTTTTAACCCTTTCAGGGTTTCGGCCGTACTAGTATGGCTTACGCACCAGGGTTTTTGATGTACTAGTACGTCTAAATTCTAGTGCCCTCAAATCTAGTGAAAGCTGGTAGGCCTACATATGAAAGAATGGGTCTATGTGGTCAGTGTACGCGGTATAAAAAAAATCCTGCAGCACACAGTGCGTAATGAGAAAAAAAAACTGATAGTGTTTTTTGGATTAAAACAGCGACTGTGCACTGTATTTTCATATGGTATTTATAGTTGTATTCTAGTTTTCCTGGTCTCATTTTATAGAATGGAAGACATATTACAGAAATTGAGATGATTTTGACTGGTTTTACAAAGAAAAGTACCTTGAAATTGAGCTCAAAGTAGCAGAAATATTCGATTTTTACCAAAGTTCAAAAGTAAACAAATCATGCTATGCATCCAATACACGTCAACTGGCGAGTCTAATATTCTTTCACAAATGCGCTGATATTAGTTATACCATTTCTACACTAATGCAGTAGTCTGCATAACAGTAAATCTTCTATTTTTTTGTGAGAATAAAAATTCAAAGTGGAAAGCAAAAGAATGTAAGAGGGGCGTGGGGATGTGACTAATGAAAAGAGGAAATGCTATTTTAGTGCCAGGAATGTCTTTGTTTATTCTGAACCCTATTTGGAAATTGGCATCTTTTGAAATTTGTGTGAAATTGGCAAATTTGCTAAATTCTGACCACTATATTGGATAGTTGAAATCGGTAAATGGGTGGTTTCTTGTACTCATTCGATAGAAAAAATGGAGTTCTAGCGAAATAGTTATGATTTTTGTCAACAAGTACACTGGAATTGGCCAAAAAAATAGGGCTCAAAGTGGGCAAAATCGCCAATGCGTAAACATCGTCGAGACCGTTAACTTCACAAGAGCATAATTCCGTAAGTTTTCCCATCAAATTTCATACATTTGGTGCCATGATGATCAGGAAAAGATTCTCTATTTTTTCATAAGAATTTTTTTTTTTTTTTTGAAATTTGGCCGACCCTGAGAACAAGTCTCAGAGGGCCTGTCGACCCTGAAAGGGTTAATAGGTCTGAATCAATTATTGGGATGCTGTAAACCATAACCATCATTCCTGGTTATATTTTATTACCAAGTAAATAGAGTAAATCTTCTGGGGGATATTATAAATGAACATACGAAAGGTTGTAGAGCCAGGATTGTCTATACTGTTTATTATGCAATTTTTAAATTGGTAAAATTGATTAAATTACCAACCTGTGCACTTTATAGGGGAGTTGTAATAGTTAAATTGGGTAGTTTCCTGTGCTCGCTCAATAGAACAGAAGGCATACTAACCTAACTCTTCTGTATTCTACTGAAGAAGCCTACTGTGTAGGCAAAACATTTCTTAATAAGGATAACTAACTGTTGCACATGTGTCTTACTTATCAACCTGTTGGTAATGTATACCGTTCTCATATTCATGGAAACTAATATCCCAATAACTTAAAAGAAAAATTGAAAATTTGGTATATAGTCTAATTTAAACCTTTCAAAGACACCAATATCCTAAAATATAATCACATTAAACTTGAAGCTACATTATCATAATATAATCATGGAAGGCTGATAGCTAATCCATCAGATGTGGCACTCTGAAATTATCACACAAATAGCAGTACAGTACAGCCTCTCCTCACTTAGTGACGCACTCATTTACCGACGACTTGAACTTACGAAGGGCTCTCTGACCAGTATGCATACCTAAATAATTTATATTAGAGCTGATTTCCTCCATTCTGCTTATTACAATATACAGTACACTATTGTACAAACGTTTAAAAATATACTAAAAACGTTATAAATCGTGCAAAAGTGACATTAAAAATAATATCAAAGATGGTTGACACAAACCCACTACCATTATAGTATGCTCCTTGTTTAGTGATGAATTCATTTACCGACGTGGCCTTAGGAACGGAACTGTCATTAAGTGAGGACAGGCTGTATTTAAATTTTACAAATTACTTCAACGATAACAAATTGGAACCTGCACTGGCTAAAATTAATCCAAACTTCTCCAAAAAAGGCTGAGTAGCTTTTAAGAAATTAAGTTGAATATAAACTTTGTGAACACAACATACTGTACAAAGGTTTAAGAATGGTCTTGAAGGCACATATGTTAAGCACACAAAAGAACAAAGTTAATTTAACCTAGGATAAAGTCAAACACTAACTTATTTTTGGTCATAAGACATTCTCAGATTATTTCACAAATCATAACCTAACATTACGAGATGGTTTCCCTTGAAGAAAACACGTCACAAAGTTTGAAACTGACTATAAAATGCATATTCCTGTTATTGCACAAACTAACAAAATCTGTCTCTACTCAGCCAAAACCCATGAAATGTTCCATGCATGTTATATGATGCATCAACCATGGAAGACTGATGTCATTGATAACTTATATTTTGACAAGAAAGCAACAAATCTGCCAAAGTCAATGAGAGTGGAATGGGAGCCATTCAAATTAGATTCAAGTACAAGTCCAGTTCCTTGATCAAGAGCCTCTCTCAGTATCAGGGGGAAAATAATGCAATAAGGTAAAATACTATACAGGTCGACCATCACTAATTCTGCATCACTGGAATGTTGGGTGCCAGATTAGCGATTCTATCGGATCACAGAGTGGTTAGGTTAGAATACATACACTTAACCCAACAGCTAACCAATTTATCCTACCTTTAAAATACCCCATAAATCAGTACAAGTTGGTTAATAAAGTTAACCAACTTGACCTACCCAAGAAAGTTCTTCACTACCACTCCCAAAGTGAAGACCTGAAAATTTACAACTAAGCACATTTACATGTCTTGAGATGAAGGGCTGTCAGGATTTCCATCTTCATCTTGGAAGGTGACATACCAGGAACTGATGAAGGTGGCAGCATATCTGGGTGAGCAGATGTTGAAGGCATTATTTTCAAGTAATGATTCTTCTGTTGCACACACAGATGTAAGTTGCTGGTCATCGAACAAACTTTTACCGATGACCAGCAACTTACACCTATGTGTTCCTGAAGCGTTAGAGCAGCCCAGCACAGCGACACTATCTCTTGATGCTTTGTAACCAGTTGGCGAGTCTGCATCCTCAGTTGTCGAAGTATTTCTTGATGTATATTTCCAATACAATGCCATCTCATCTGCACTGCAGATCTGCTCAGGATTTAATTCTTCATCTGAAACTAATTTGGCAAACATTTCAACAAATTTAGCAGCTCCTTTGTTGCTGAATGTTTTTCATTACACACTGCACGAAACTTTAAGCCATGTCGATCCTTGAAATGCTGCAGGCAACCTTCAATATAATCACACTTGTAATCTAGTCCTAGTTTGTGAAAAACTTTGGTGTGTACCTTCACAATATCTCCAGACAGCTCAACACCTTCACTTACTTGCAACCTAAACCATTTCAGAAGAACGTGATCTAGTTCTGAACTTTTTCCTTCCTTCATTGTTTTTCTTTTACACAAGTTTCTTTGAATCACTGTTAGTAAAGAACATTGACTTTTTTTTTTTTATGTCAAACAGTTGATGAGCTAATGCTGTATGATTCACACAAGCTTCTCCACACGTCACCAAACACTTACTGGACAATTTGGGTGTTTGCATCAAACACAACGAAAAGCATTTCCTTTCTTCACTGGAACCGTAGATGGGGCTAAAAGTGAGCCAAGTATAACAGTAAATGGAAAAAAAAAAAAAAAAATTGGAATGGCTTGCCTGTGTTTGCAAGGAACACCAAGTGTGTTTATGGAGCAAGGGGAGTCACCAAACAATAGCAGCAGGTTGGTGCGGCGACCCAGGAAATTTGAAATTACGCTAGCCTAAATTAGGGCAGAATTAGTGATGGAATAGGATCAGTAACTGCTGGACAAGTGATGGTCGACCTGTATTATTTCGAGATTAAGTGGCAAAGTGACCAATCTGGAGCCTTCCTCCAGTAATCACATAGTAATAAAATATGGGAATGACCTATGCATCTCTTCATATTGCCATTGCCGTTTTAGTTTACCATGAAGTTCTGTTACTTTTAATAATTAAATTTAATACAGCCTCTCCTCATTTAACGACGGAATTCCATTCCGAGACCACATTGTTAAACGAATTCACTCCTAAGTGAGGAGCACACTATAATGGTAACAAGTTTGTGTCAACCAACTTTGATATTGTTTTAATGTCACCTTTGCACCTTTTATATAATTTCTGGTATATTTTTAAATGTTTATACAGTAATGTACTGGATATTGCAATAAAGAAAATAAGAGGAAATCGTCTCTAATGTACATAATTTAGGTATGCATACTGGTCAGAGAACCAGTCATAAGTCCAAGTCATCAGTAAACGAGTACATTGTAAAGTAATGAGAGGCTGTATAGCATTTACTTCTTAGGCAGTAGGTTGGTAGACAGCAATCACCCAGGGAGGTACTACCGTCCTGCCAAGCAAGTAAAATGAAAGCCTGTAATTGTTTTACACGATAGGATTGCTGGTGTCTTTCTGTTTCCATGCAAGATTTCAGGTATGTCTTGCTACTACTTCTTACACTTGGGTCATATTAAACATGCATGTACAAGAATATTTATACACATTCCCCTCTGGGTTTTCTTCTATTTTCTTACTAGTTTTTGTTCTAGTTTATTTCCTCTTATCTCCATGGGAAATTGGAACAGAATTCTTCCTTTTTAAGCCATGTGTGTCGTAGAGGCGACTAAAATGCCAGGAGCAAGGGGCTAGTAACCCCTTCTCCTGTATACAATACTAAAGTTGTGAGAAATTTTGTTTTTCTTTTTGGGTCACTCAGCCTTGGTGGGATACAGCCAGTTTGTTGAAAAGAAAGAAAAGTACAGTGGTACCTTGACATACGAGTGCCCCAACTTACGAATTTTCCGAGTTATGAGCCGTTGCTCAGTTGATTTTTTGCTTTTAATTGTGAGCCAAAATCCGAGTTAAGAGCGAGCTTCAGATACGCTGCCACTAGTTGGTGCAGCGAACACCACAACAGTGCACATTGTTACCTTGCTATGGAAGCATCTCTTGTGTTGTTCTTGTGTTTTGTGCAGTTATTTTGCCAAATTTCTTTTTTCTAACCATGGGTCCTAAGAAAGTAAGTGCAAAGGACAGTCTGAGAAGAGGATGATGATGTCTATTGAATTAAAGCACGAGGGTATGAGTCATTTACGCTGATTTACTTCGGAGATATTCGCCCAAAACGTAGGCTTGTCTTCTGACTTGGGGGGGAAAAAAAAAAAATCAGAGAAAATTGCATTTGTTTCAGTGTTTCCCTTACAAAACTAGTGTTTAGTGCAGTTAGCCTCACAAACACACTGTTTTCTCTTATAATAAGACCTCAGAAGGGCAAGAACAGGAAGATATGGTCAGAATGATAATTATTTTTGCCTCGGGAGTGGCAGTCACTACTCATCACATGACATTTTATTCATTCTAGAGTACATATCATGTTTCTATGGTATTTATATTGTTTATCATGTCATATTAGATCAATTGTGATAGATAAATAAACCGTAGAGTTGATATTGGCGTTATATTGAAATATTTTCTCCTGCCTCCTGAGAGCCAGGAATTTCGCTGGAACGGATTAATGGCATTTCAGTTAATTTCAATGAGGAATATAGATTTGATATACGAGCAAATTGAGTTACGAGCTGGGTCATGGAACGAAAAAACTCGCAAGTCAAGGTAGCACTGTACCTACTTCATGATGTACAAAGGTTGCATGTACTATTGTATAAACTAATGGCCAGGTTCCATTGTGCAGAAATCATAAATCTCAGCAAAAATTTGAACAGTAGGTGTTCTTTCCAGTATATGCTGTGCTTCAACCAACACCCACATACAATATATGTACATTATACTAAACTAGATTCTTAGCTTACGATAAACCAATGTAGTTAAACAATGCGACATTTCCACTAAGGTCCTTATTAATTTATTTATTTAGGAATTTGCACAAGCTGTCAATTAAATTTTCATCCCAAAAAATATTAACAATAACAAAAGTTTAATTCAGAAAAATTTTGCATTAAAAAATGCACGTTAACATAAGAAATCTTGAAAAATTATTAGCAATTATTAGCAATTTACTAATACAAATACTATCCTCTTTCTATCAATATTCTTTGGCAATTCTTAAACTGCCTCGTGTAACTTGCCTTGACAAGCTCAGGTAGCCCATTAATTTACTGCTGTGTAAATGGTGCATGGCATGGCTACCTACTGTTGGTACTACAAATTTAATTTTTTTTTTTTTTTACGCATTACACAGCAACATGTGTAAATCACCTAAGATACAAAAAATCAAAATGCCTTATTTCACTTTTAGTACCACACTGGCCTTTGGTTCTTAACCTTTAAGAATTTCAGCAAAATTTTTTGAACAAGTTATTAGCAATTTTATATACAGTAGTACATGGTTGAGCTTTAGCTGTCTTACCCAATCTGCCACATTATGCATTCTCCGATTTAATTCATCCTGGCCTACATGTTCTCTTGAACCCAGGTCCAGGATGAATCTCACCATAAAGAATAAGAATTAATGTACATGTACATGACATTATGTAAGAGACAGACAGAGGGTCCTGTGAGCCTGAGTAGGCAGGCACTGTGCCTGTCTATAGGAGGACTTCCCAACTTTTTTTTTAACATTATGAATAATTACTCTCCTGATATGCATAGATTAAGTGATATTTCACTGAAAGTACTATCAAGATGGTCTCCCTGATACAGAGAACACGAGCCTAATAGTATAGCTTCTGTGTTTCCTTGGTGTAGTGATCATCTATTAGGCACTTTTTTTTTTAAAAGATTCATTCAAACGATAGTACAACAGCTACATCCCCTAGGTCTTCACCCAAGACTAAAACACTCATCTGCATACAGTAACATCAAGAACCCCAATTGAAATAAGTCACTGACTTGGGTTATCCTCAGTAATTTACACCATGATAATTGTACTTGTGTGCCTGTACCTAAATAAACTTACACTTAACACTAATGAGCATGTCAATTATATAATAGTTGAGGGCCCAAAATACTCCCTTGGGGAACACCACAGGCTATCAGCAGAGGCTCTCAATGGAAATAAATGGTATAAAATACTGACACAATGGAAATATAAACACAAATGCAGTATAATGTGATCCTTATTGACTAGTTTTGACCCACACAGTGGGCTTTTTCAAGTCACAAACAGGACTGTTTGTGACTTGAAAAAGCCCACTGTGTGGGCGAAACGTAGTCAATAAGGATCACATTATACTGCATTTGTGTTTATATTTCCAGAGGCTCTCAATAACTAATTACTGACCTTGAGAATTAGTTTCCTGTTAGACAAGACAAACCAGTCTACAGAGCTTATTTCAATAGCCTATAGTTTTTTTTTATATATGCTATGGTTCACTGTATCCAATACCTTCAAGTCAAACGGTCACTATTTCCCTGAAATTCACTTTTAAAATCCGAGTTTTTATAATCCACAAGTTTAATTAAGGAGGCATTTGTTGAACGAGATCCCTGAAACCTTACTGACAGATATGAAAGATGTGACCAACCTTCATACACTGAACCACTATCAACTGGTCAGTATTGAATAGTAAAAATACACCAGTATCATACTCGCTGAACCACTACATAATACACAGCTCTCTTGGAGTTTGGATATTACACATAAGCATACTACCAGGCCTGTAGTTACATAATAAAAAAAGCGCTAAACCACAAGGACTATACAGCTGCAGTTACTACATTCAATTTAGTGTGTATATTAGGCATAATTCTTGAGGCTGTGTGATAAATTAAGAAATTTAGCACAGGGAACCAACACTTTACTTATTGGGGGTTATCCTAGGCAATCTACAAATATGCTGCTAGGTATAATTTATGTAACTATATTTATGTGTACCTGTACCTTAATAAACTTAACACACCTAAATACACGATTTACTTATAAATTACTCGTGTGAAAGGAACGACAAACAAAAGTTGAAAACAACAGTATATAAGAAACGACCAAGTGAAGTCACCGAAGGTTCACACCACAAACGTCTGCCTCGGCGAGTTATCCAAGATTTTTTTTTCCTTTATTGTTCGCCTATAATTTTACCGATACATGTTAAAATTATCTGTCAGCATACATATAGGGGAGACTGTGTGTGAGCGCCAGGCTGGGACGATGGGCGAGATAATGACATTATTGTTGCGTCTTAGTGAACACTCGTACAAGTGTCAAAAATGAACTAATTGTGTGCAGCCCAACATTATCAGTTACATGTACGTCTCTATACTAAGACGTGACGACGTGTACATATAGTTAACGCTACATAAGAGACACAGATGTGGGTATGAAGTATATATATGAGAGCTACTGCTGGAGGGACTCACCTTCCTGCAGGTCCTCCACACACTCGAACGTTATCTCGAACTGAAAGGGATTGAAAAAGGGCGAGGGGTTGTCTAGCACAACCACGTTCACTATATGCACTTTAGCCATGACCGCACGACTCCCTAAAAGTGACTTAAACTAGTGGTAATGTTGAGAATGTGTGGTACATGGAGCCTCAACACTGCTGCTCTCTTGTCTCCTACACAGAATATGGCGCCAAACCTGCCTCACCTCCCTCCCTCTCATTGGTCCACTCTTTTAATTAACTTTAAACCTTATCAACTACATGAGGGTTTGTTAACATTGCTTGTGGTCTTTACGGCAGCTGTCAGGGATAATTTAGTACCTAAATTAGGGGTTAAAATAAACTTGTAGTGTATATATACTGTGAGATATGCATCTGTGGGTGTATATACACGTTGTTCATTGGTTCTCCCATGCCGGTACTTATAACGCCCTCTCTGATTGGTGAATTTCCAGCACCAGTTTTAAGCGGTGAATTTAAATTGATTGAAGCAGCCTTCAACTCTGAGCATTATTATAACTTGGAATAATGCTAACTCCCCGAAACTGACACGTCATCTGAGAACTGTAATCCAGAAAGTTTTCGTTTCAGATGCTAGAGGGTCGGTAAAGTTCCTAGGATTAAAATTCCTTCAGCATCATCAAGGCACTCTCCATGTATGGGATAGATGACCTTGAGGCTCGCCTAAAGTTCAACGTCTCATGAGGACGGTTGTCTTCAACTGCAAGTCAACGATGCAAGTTTCAGTTTGAATGTGGTCTTTATTTAGGGTAATGCACGCCGTTTGCCTCTCGTTGACTCTATCAACCACTTCAATGAGCTCAACAGGTGACGACTGGAAGCTCGCCAAGTGACCTTGTAATATGAATGTATTGGTGTGGGAAAAGCATTACATACACACACTCACACACATAGCCAGGAGCTATGACTCGACCCCGCAACCATATATAGGTCACTACATACAGGTGAGTACACACACAAACTTCACTCATGGAAAAAGATCTTGGGGTGAGTATAACACCAGGCACATCTCCTGAAGCGCACATCAACCAAATAACTGCTGCAGCATATGGGCGCCTGGCAAACCTCAGAATAGCATTCCGACATCTTAATAAGGAATCGTTTAGGACCCTGTACACCGTGTACGTTAGGCCCATATTGGAGTATGTGGCACCAGTTTGGAACCCACACCTAGCCAAGCACGTGAAGAAACTAGAGAAAGTGCAAAGGTTTGCAACAAGACTAGTCCCAGAGCTAAGGGGTATGTCCTACTAGGAGAGATTAAGGGAAATCAACCTGACGACACTGGAGGACAGGAGAGATAGGGGGGACATGATAACGACATTAAGAAATACTGAGGGGAATTGACAAGGTGGACAGAGACAGAATGTTTCAGAGACTGGACACAGCAACAAAGGGTCACAGTTGGAAGTTGAAGACTCAGATGAATCATAGGGATGTTAGGAAGTATTTCTTCAATCACAGAATAGTCAGGAATTGAAATAGTTTGGGAAGTAATGTAGTGGAGGCAGGATCCATTCATAGCTTTAAGAAGAGTTATGATAAAACTCATGGAGCAGGAAGATTGATCCAGTAGCGGCCAGTGAAGAGGCGGGGCCGGGAGCTGTGATTCGACCTTTGCAAACACAACTAGGTGAGCACACTGGAGGATAAGGGGGATACGGAGGGGGATATGATGATATACAAAATACTGAGAGGAATTGACAGGGTGGATAGGGACAGGATGTTTCAGAGATGGGACACAGCAATAAGAGGACACAACTGGGAATTGAAAACTCAGATGAGTCAGAAGGATATTAGGAAGTATTTTTTCAGCCATAGAGTTGTTAGGAAGTGGAACAATCTGGAGAGTAATGTAGTGGAGGCAGGATCCATACATAGCCTTAAAAAAAAGTGATACAACAAAGCTCATGGAGCAGGGAGTGGACCTAGTAGCACCCAGCAAAGGCAGGGCCAGGAGCTGTGAATCGACCCCAGCAACCACAAATAGGTGAGTACACACACACACACACAGGATGTTCCAGGGATGGGACACAGAAACAAGGGGTCACTACACACAGATAACCTGTACATAGAAGAGAGGAGCTTACAACGACGTTTCGGTCCGACTTGGACCATTTACAAAGTCACAGTTGACTTTGTAAATGTTCCAAGTCTGACCGAAACGTCGTCGTAAGCTCCTCTCTTCCATGTGCTAGTTATTTGTGTATCGTTCCAGTCACGGTATTGTGCCTTTTTTGTTATTCAAGGGGTCACTATTGATAGTTGAAGACTCAGATGAGTCATAGGGATGTCAGGAAGTATTTCTTCAGTCATCGAGTTGTCAGGAAGTGGAATAGTTTGGCAAGTGACGTAGTGGAGGCAGGAACCATACATAGTTTTAAGACGAGGTATGATGTTAGGTAAGACACATATGCAACAGTTAGGTATCTTTATTTCGAAACGTTTCGCCTACACAGTAGGCTTCTTCAGTCGAGTACAGAAAAGTTGATAGAAGCAGAAGAGACTTGAAGACGATGTCATCAGTCTATGGAACAATGCTCTTCTCCAGACTGAGGGACTGACCACCTCAAAACTTTAAGGGTGATGGACTGATTACATAGTCTTCAAGTCTCTTCTTCTATCAACTTTTCTGTACTCGACTGAAGAAGCCTACTGTGTAGGCGAAACGTTTTGAAATAAAGATACCTAACTGTTGCATATGTGTCTTACCTAACAACCTGTCAGTATTTTATACCATTTTAATGTTCACGAGGTATGATAAAGCTCATGGAGCAAGGAGAAAGAGGACCTAGTAGTGATCAGTGAAGAGGTTGGGCCAGGAGCTGAGTCTCGACCCCTGCAACCACAAATTGGTGAGTACAGAAAGGAATGAGCTTATACATGATAACCAGCACAGTTTTAGGGAAGGGAAATCCTGTTTCACAAATCTACTGGAGTTTTATGACAAGGTGACAGAAGAGAGAGGGGGGGGGGGATAGAGTGTACATTCTTGGACTGTAAGAAGGCTTTCGACACAGTTCCATACAAGAGATTAGTGCAAAAGCTAGAGGAGCAGGCAGGAATAACAGGAAAGGCACTGCAATGGATCAGTGAATACCATACAAGACGGAAATGAGTGATGGTACGTGACAAGGTGTCAGAGTGGGCACCTGTGACGAGAAGGATTCCACAAGGGTCAGTCTTAAGGCTGGTGCTGTTTCTGGTATATGTGAATGATATGATGGAAGGGATAAATTCATAGATGTCCGTTTGCAGAAAATGTGAAGCTAATGCAAAGAATTCAAACGGATGAGGATAAGGCAGGACTACAAAGGGATCTGTACAGGCTGCAAGCCTGGTCCAGCAACTGGCTCCTGGAGTTTAACCCCACCAAGTGCAAAGTCATGAAGATTGGGGAGGGTTAAAGACTGCAGATGGAGTACAGGCTAGGTGGACAAAGGCTGCAAGCCTCACTCAGAAAAAAGGATCTTGGGGTGAGTAGTATATTACTGAGCACATCTCCTGAGGTGAACATCAACTAAATAACTGCTGCAGCATATGGACGCCTGGCAAATCTAAGAATAGCATTTCAACACCTGCATACGGAGCCATTCAAGACACACTACACTGTGTACATCAGGCCCATATTGGAGTATGCAGCACCAGTATGGAACCCACACTTAGTAAAGCACATCAAGAAATTAAAGTGCATCCCAAGGTTTGCAATAAGATGAGTCCCAGAGCTAAGGGATGTCCTACAAGGAAAGGTTAAGGAAAATCAACTTGATGACACTGGAAGACAGAAAGGATATGATAACTACATATGTCTTGGTATTGTGCCTTTTTGTTTTTTTATAAAATACTGAGAGGAATTGACAAGGTGGATAGGGACAGTATGAGAGATGGGACATAGCAACAAGGGGTGCAACCACATATAGGCGAGTACATACACAAAGGGGTCAGGTAAGGGTGATGAAGGAGTAAGGGGCCTGGGAGGTGAAGCATGAATGACTGTCACGATTGATTGTTTCTTTTTTTAAAAGGGGTGAAGATGGACAGCTCCAAGGAGAAAAAATATATATAGTATATTCCTCCGCAGGGTCGACGAGTGCCCTTGGCCCGCACAGTAGTGCCGATGCTACACAGAAACCCATCCCTTACCCTACCCAGTATACCAGGAATCCAAGTACACCAGGATGGTACCTCTAGAAGCAACTGAATCAGACTTGGGTAAAAAAAGGGGCAGGTGACCAGAAACATAGGGATTTATACCCCTTTGGCTGCCACTTCCTGGAACCAACAGGCAGCCTTCAGGAATGCTTATTTCATCCAAAGACACATGGTCTGGAGTTTTGAGACTCTCTGATTGCGGGTTCAAACCCCACCTGTGGCATGGTTTGTTTTCTCAAAAGTGCCCCATCACATTATTATTATAATCAGGGTAAGCACTAGCCCTATAGGTAGTAGGCTGGTAGACAGCAACTGCCCAGAGAGGTACTACTATTCTGCCAAGTGAGTGTAAAATGGAAGCCTGTATTTCTTTACATGATGGCAAGATTGTTGTTGTCTTTTTTCTGTCATAAACATGCAAAATTTCAGGTACGTCTTGTTACTTCTACTTACACTTAGATCACACTACACATGCATGTACAAGCATATATATGCACATCCCTCTGGGTTTTCTTCTGTTTTCTTACTAGTCCTTGTTCTGATTTATTTTCTCTTATCTCTACAGAGAAGTGGAACAGAATTCTTCCATAAGCCATGCATGTCGTACGAGGCGGCTAAAATGCCAGGAGCAAGGGGCTAGTAACCCCTTCTCCTGTATACGTTACTAAAGTTAAAAAGAGAAACTTTTTTTCTTTTTGGGCCACCCTGCTTCAGTGGGATATGGCTGGTTTGTTGAAAGAATAAGCACTAACCCAGAAGTACATCTCAGATAATAAAATTCCCACAGCAAACAGTACCACCACCCTGACAGAAAATGATCCTCTTTTTCCTGTCTATCAGCTGAAATTCACAAGGGATAAAATATCACCAAATAAGGAGGCCTAAAGGGAGAGGGTGGGAATTTGACCTCCAAGAAGGTCAAATTCCTCTGATCAAGAGGTCCTTCACAATGCTAATTATGCTCACAATATTTTCATTTTTCTTAAATTAACAAAAGTTATTTCTCTGAACTGTCCACACGATTTTACATTCAGTAGTAATTCTTGGCAGTTAACTAATTTGAAAAAACACAATTGCTTTTTATATAAAAGTTTCAAATAATCAACAAGACTTTTCCACATAATTTATTAATAAAAAGTTACATTTGCAAAATATAAGTAGATAGAAAAAAAGTAAAATACAAAATCATCTGTATTAGAAATAAAATAATGTTAAGTAATATTAGAAAATTTACAAAATTTGAATGAAATACAGTACTGTAAACTTTTGTATAGTGCAAATTTTTGTAATACATTCTGAGCATGACAATGTTCATAAAAAATGTTAAAACATAATTATACAAGTGTCTAAGAAGGTATATTTAAGCCTGGGTGACAATATGAGATATTAAAAATACGTACATTCTATATGTACTGAGAGTGACCACCTATGCTTCAGTCAGCTGACCTAATATCTCTCATCTCAAGAAAACAACCTTTGAAAATTGTTATAATGATTTTGTTAGTCAAGGTAACCTTTTGTCCGTCAGTCTTTCAGAGCTTTAGCTCCTTTCATTTCCAATTACCAATGACTATTAAGCATGGCACAAAAAGGATTGCTAGTAAAAATGGATGTCAGAAGCAGCAAGATTCTATAACAGGTTTGGAAAGCTCCGACTCGATATGGCACAAAAAAATGTAGCAGCCAGAGGATAATCTCATTGTGATGTCACCACACTTATAGAAGGATAGTGACCAAATGAATAGTGGTGGATGTGTTTTCTTCTTTAGGTCACTGCCTTGTCAGGAGACAGCCACCCAGTTAAAATTAAAAAAAAAAAAAAAAATCACATGAAGTGCTAAATCTATGTGGATCATCTAAAGAAGGGACTGGAGGAAGCTTGATCCTCCATTGATTAATCTCAAGATGGATACTCTACTCTAGAACTAATGTAGAAGTTACACGATCCTGTCCTCCATGGCAGAGTGGAGAAGACTCCCTCCTTAAGCCATGAGTGTTATAAGAGGGACTAAAATGCTAGGAACAAGAGGCTAGTAACCCTGCCTCAGTGGGATACAGCCGGTGTGTTGATAAAAAAAAAAAAAATAACAAAAATGATCGAGCACATGATGCTGATTTGACATGATAAAAAATACAAGTTTTTCTTACATCCATGTAGATAATTAATTGAATGACAAATGAGTTATATAGATGCTATGATTCTGGTGGTATACTGTACTTGATGACTTTACAGTAGTACCACAGCCATACATGTCAACAATTACCATTACAATAATAGATGTGGAAGAAACTCAAGATTATCTCAGTCCCCAAGACCCAAACATTATGAATGTGTGCAGCCAATTATGTGAAAAAAAAAAAAAAACTTTTGGAAACTTTTAGACCTCAATGGAGAAAGACATTTAAGAAATTCATACATATACATGTATACACAACAAAATGAGCTCTGAACATCACATGCAGCTAAGTTCAAGTATATATGAATACTATACTTTGATATATTCGTGTAGAAAATAAAATATACATGCTGGGTCAAAAATATAAATACAAGGTTATTTGATGCAAAAAATAAAATATTGGCCATTGTAAGTGATCAATACTTCACTGAATTCAGGACATTCAAGTTCTAAGTGTTGTATGAACATACAAGGAATCCCTAACTAACAAACAAGCTGCTTTCCTGCTATTTTGTTTTTTAACTTGCAACCTATTTTCCAACGGATAACAATAGTACAAAGGATGCTTATCAAATGTTCGTAAATACAGATCTGCAGTTGGAAAACCATTTTTATAAACCTCGTTCCTAAGAACAGATATTCTGAACTCTGGCTTTTGTAAATTGAATCCTCTCTGTTCAATATACTCACTGTAACATTAGATGAAGTTGAGTGGGGCATCCAACTTATGTACACATGACTGAACAGAATCCTAACTTTATCTAGTACTCATTAAAATAAGCCTATAATTGGTTTTATCCCAGAAATTAATGGGCAAGACAGTTGATTTTGATGTTTTTTTTATTTACAATATAGTACAACCTACACCTATAAAAATATAAAGTTATTGTTATGAGACAGCCATACATACCTATAATTATAACAATGAGATTCAATGGAAGACAATGATTAAGATTATTTTTTATTACAGCATCATGAAAAATGAGAAACATTTAAGATTATGAAAGATCCTGAAATAACATAACTGGAATCACAAATGAAATGATCAAATTATTGGTTATACAGTTTCATCACAGAAATAATGAAAAGATTTCCACAAAAGGATAACTTCTAAATCACAATTTAACACCAATTAAAGTCCTACTTAACATGAAATGTTATCAGTAATTATAAAAAATGAATTTCTACAATGATATTTTAAAAATTCCCTGCATTACAAATCACATACCTTAACATAAAGATATGTATAATGTACACAAAGGGCTATTTAATAATGTAAGGTTAAACACCTGCATTAAAATCAATACTTAATAAATGCATATAAGTGGCATCCACAAAGTTTGATTTTCACTGTTAAATAGGTAAGTATTAATACCGCAAGGGAATACTTTAGATTCTTTTTATTCACCATCAGCATTCTTGGAAAATGCGTTTTATTAATTGAAATGAGGACAAGAAATAATTGAACCCTTTTACAAACCATCAAGGAAAATGAGGGGGTCTATAATTATTCAGCTATTAAAACGTCGGCACAGTGCATTATAATTTAAGTATCCAATAGCAATTAAGTACCCAAAATATCCTGTCTTAGCTCGTGATTTGGGTATTTAGATAAAACAGAGGGAAAAGATAACAAAGAGGGTGTATAAATCTGGGGAAGAAGGGGGTTGGGACCATCCCAAGAATGAGTCATAAAGGAGGCTTTAAGTTTTAGGGGTTTGAAAGTCCAGCAGGCTTGTCTGAGTGTTAGTTAGCAGAATGACAAGCAGTTTTTATAGGACGTGCTGTTAGTGTGCAAGCAAGGTAACATTCATGAAAGGATTCAGGAAAACCAGTTACCCCAACTTGAGACTTGGAAGTGGGAATGGCAGTGACTGTATATTGTAGTCGGAGGGTCATCTGAATTGTGATGTCAAACTTTTGGCAAGACTGATTAAATAAATGATGGTGAACTTGTTTTCTTTCCACGGGCCACGCTAGCGGCCTTGGTGGGAGACAGCCATCGAGGTAAAAAAAATTTTTTTTCAACGCACCAGCCATATCCCACCAAGGCAGAGTAACCTAAATTGAAAAACAAGTTTTTCCTTTTACATTTTGTAATAAAGTATTAATATATGACTTGCAAATCACATGCTGTTGTTTGATCATTCAATGTGAATCGTGAGACAACATTCAGAATAGTTAAGTAAATCTGGATATTGTTTTACGAGCCTCGTAGACAGAGCAAACAAGCTACTTGCGACTCAGGAGTCATGGTTTGGCCATGTCTGATATACACTACCACATGTTATTTACATTTTGAAACACTATATATATATTTCCATGGAACTTTTATAATTTAAAGGTATAAAGGTTTAATTCTACCTAAATCAGGTGAAAATATTTTTACTCCTGCTTAAAAAAAGTAGTAATCCTGTTAGACAAGAGATATTTAAAAAAATTTTAATACTTGTAAATAACATAACTTAATACTGATGATTAAATACCCATTGCAAAGACACAAATGTGAATCAACATTAACCCATGTTCACATCACATAGGTGGCCAAGCTATGGATCGTGAGTTGCATGTGGTATGACCGATCACTGAATATGACTCGTGAGATAATATCCAGAAGGGGAAAGTAAACCTGGAGACTGTCTCACAAGCCTCATAGACTGAGCAAAAGAGTTGCATGCAACTCATAAACCATGTCTTAGCTATGTCTGCCATATAGAGTACTGTATCTATTATTTATATTTTGAAACACTTTATAGAACATTAATATTCAAGGAACAAAAAAAACCACAATACCGTGACTGGAACAAAACATAAATAACCCACACATAGAAGAGAGGTGGTGTGACTTTGTAAATGGTCCAAGTTGGACTGAAACGTCATCGTAACCTCCTTTCTTCTATGTGCGGGTTATTTGTGTATTAATATTCAAAGAAAAAGGTTATAATCTTAAACATTAAGATTAATTAAAAAAGCTATAGGAAGGTAAATAAAAAAATAAATGCAAAAATGAACAGCTAAGGATAGCAATAGTGTTGTTTCCAAAAAAATACAATGACTCCCAATGTGGGAGTAAGGCACTAAGAAACAAGTGGAAATGTGCAACAGTTTTTTCTTTTTTTTTTGAGTATACAATAAAAGTTGGTATCCATGTGCCTCTGACAAGACAGTGATAGTGTGAGTGATGGTGGAAGTGCTTCTTTTTCAGGTCACCCTGCCTTGGTGGAAGATGGCCAGTGTGTAAAAGAAAAAAAGTTCAAATCAAGAACAGTGAGATTTCCTGGAATGTAAATATTTTGATTTCATAACAGGTATGATATTTACAAAATGTGTGATCAATTATCCTATAAACACATTCACCATCTTTAATATCACTTGGACTAGACACTTTATGATGGTGATTATGTAAGCATGGAAGCTACCATGAGACCCATGATAATGAGAATAAATAAACACCCCTCACTGGAAACACAGGGTTATTATAACCTTGTATGTTCTTACATATAACACATTGTTAGATCAATGATAAACTGGTCACAATAGCACACTACTCATGGAAGATCTGTCAAGTCTTCCTGCATGCAACAAAGAACTGTTAATCCTACTAAATATATACTGTAGCACCAAAACTGTAGTTATTTATATAATTATTATTAATGTATCATCATGCAAAGCACTAAACCTGTGTGGATCATTCAATGTAATGCGTGGTGGAAGTTTGATCCTCCGTCTGATAATGTCATGACAGACATGTTACCTAGTTGTCATTTCCTAACAGTACTATTCTTTATTTACCTTTCAGCACCAAGACTAGGTATAAAAATTTATATACAGCATATATACAAATATACTTATGCATCTATTCAAATAAGTTTAAAACATTACAAATATATATCAATATTCTTAACAATTGGCTGCCAAGTGTCATCCACAGATAGCTTGCAGTGCTCCAGGTGAACATTACGCTCATGTCATTGCATGTAAAGAACATAGTACGTACATGAATTACAACAATTACAAAAATATATAAATGCAAAAAGTGTGCACTCTTCTTTAACTATCTGCTACTCAGGTAATGAGGAATACACATACATGTACAATAAATGCAATACCCAATACTGTAGTCACAAGACATTAGTAGCAATGTAAATCATCTGAATTATATATAATAATGCATGAGCCAAAATCTTTAGCATATGATGCATAGTTAACATTTTACAAATGTTTCAGACTAAACTGCCAATTACTGCCTAGACATCTATATACAAAATAAACTAGTGGAAATGGTTTCATCAGAGAATTCAAGAGATACTGTATACAGTATCCCTTCTTTCTGCACTTCCACATTTCTTCATTGGAGGGACTCCACTGCTTCTTGTAGGTCACTGTGAGAAGTCCAATGTTTCAATGAAGGGACTCACATTGTCTCTTGCAGGTCACCGTGAGAGATCTGATGCTTCACTGGAGGGGCTCACACTATCTCTTGGTTCTGGAGTTTTAGGAACACGTTTTTTCAAAAGATGCTGCCCAAACTGCAAGAAAACCAACACTTGTTCACTTTGTATATACAAACATGTAAATCAGTTAGAATAAAGAAATAATGCAATATTATCTTAAATATAATTTTTTTAAGACACTGGCCATTCCCACCGTGGCAGGGTAATCCGAAAAAGAAGAAACACTTTCATCCCTACTTCCTCCATCATTGTCTTGCCAGAGGCATGCTGATACTACAGTTCATAAACTGCAACATATCTCCACTCCTACTTCAGAGCTTCAGAGTGCAGGCACTGTACTTCCCACCTCAGGACTCAAGGCCACTTAACCAGTTTTCCTGAATCCCTTCATAAATGTTACCTTAGTAACACTCCAACTGCATGTCATGTCATAAAAACCATTTGCTTTCACTCACTTCTAACACGTTCATGCACATGTGCTGGAAGTCTAAGCCCCTCATACACACAACCTCCTTTACCCCCTCCCTCCAACCTTCTCTAAGATGATCTCTAGCTCGCCTTCCTTCCACTATAGATTTATAGGCCCTCCAAATCATATTTTGTTCCATCCTCTCTAAATGTCTGAACCACCTCAACAACCCTTCCTCTGCCCTCTGGATAATACATTTAGTAACCCCACACCTTCTGATCTCCATGATAAGGATTCTCCGCATGCTACCCTCAGACGTGACATCTCTACTGCCTCCAGACTTCTCCTTGTTGCAACATTCACCACTTTTTTTTTTTTTTGTTTGGGGGGGGGGGGGGGGGGGGGGGGGCACATGGGTTTTCAATATTTCAGTGAGGAGGCTGGAGGCAACAGAGATGTCTTGTTTGAGGGCAATGTGTGCTGCGAACATTATGCAGAGAATTCAGAGTTCGGAGATTAGGAAGTGTGGAGTTATCAAACATATTATTCAGCAGAGGAGGGATTGCTGAGGTGGTTTGGACACTTACAGAGGTTTGAGAAAAATCAGACGGCTAGGAGAGACTATAAATCAGGCATGAAGAAAGTGTAGGGGCTGTCCTAGGAAAGGTTGCATGTTAAGATAGGAGTGATTGGAGGCAAAAGGTTTTTATGATTAAACACGCTGTTGGAGTGTGAGCCAAGTACTATTTATGAAGGGATTCAGGGAAACCGATTAGCCAGACTCGAGTCATGGAGATAGGTGGTACAGTGCCTACACATTGCAGTTTGGAGGGTCACCTGAACTGTATTACCAGCATGCTTCTGGGAAGACAGTGATCAAATGAGTGACAGTGAAAGTGTTTTCTTCTTTGCTGGGTTACCTTACCTCAGTGGGAGATGGCCAATATTAAAAAAAAATTTTTTTTACTGCCAATTAACAGTTGTTGTGTTCCTGAAAATGGTGTGCTATTAAAAAAGTGTAAAATCACCTGAAGAATATATGAGAAAAATAGGGTTATGTTCTATACACCCCTAAAACAAGCAAAATTTTTTTAGATCTCCAAATTTTAAAAAACATTAATAACATAACTGTAGGTGGATGCAATGATGTGTTATACAGTAGATGAGTAGACACTGTTAACATTTCTTTCAACAGGCGACAAGTGGGTCGATTTTCCGGAGCAAGTAAAACATTGGAGTGTTTGTTTCACCGTTGCTATTGTCGCCATCTAAGTGGTTCCTGGTCTTAGTGACTGGTGGGGTCCAGTTTCTGGGACAGCCTAAGATGGTATCAACGATCCGGCCGCGTGCTTGATCCCCGTAACTCTCTCAATAATCCAGTTAAATCAACTTCATTTTTCATCCCATGTTTTTTCTTAACCATGGTCAAAATGGGAATTTTCACGAACTAACGCAACATTGAGTTATGTGGTGAATACATGTGTATAATACTGGTGCATGTATGGCATGTTCTCCATCTCAAGTTGAGCCTTAGGAAGTCCATTGTTTTATGGGGGAAGCCTACATAATGTATACAACCTTCCGCAACCAGTGCTTCATTCATACACGTCTAATACCATGCTTGACCTGTGTTAGTGAATCAACTTCATTTTTTCATCCCATCTTGTCTCTGAATAGTAACCATGGTGCCCAAGAGGAATGTTATCACTCAACTAACGAGCCCGACCCCAAAGCCATGAGAATGTAATGGCTATTGTGTATATATAGCGGTATACATGATTACTGACAATGTGAATGATCCTGGAAGTGTGAAGAAGTTTAAGTGCCAAAGTCTTAGTGTTTCGAAGAAAATCCAGATATTCGATAAACTTAAGTGTGGTGTACATTTGACGCAGATGGCAATAGTGTTACGGTCCGAATAAGGCATCAGTTTATAAAGTTAAGAATGAGGCAAAGATATAAGATTGTGCAAACTCGTGATGAACTCAAGCAGCACCTAAGTTTAACATGAGCATATGAAAAGTAATTCAATTTACTCAAACCTATGACGGTGCTTCACAAGTTAGAGCTCATCACCACAAATTCAGATAGTATAATTAAAAAATGGGTAATTCCATTGCTCTGGCAACTACATGAGCATTGGCTGCAACTGAGTGTACAGGATCAAGATGGACAACTTACTATTGGAAGTGAAGGTGGTTGCTCTTCTTTTGGCTTGGGTTTAGGTATTCTAGGAGATGGCTTCCTCATTAATTTAAAGAGATTTTGTTGAGGGGTCTCTTCTTTCATCAGATTCCGTTTTGGGATTTCAAACCGGCTTTTATGGATCATCTGCGGTGTACTTTCAGGAGATGAACCGAATTCATTATCATCATCATTAGCATCCTTCTCTGGGGAATCTGAATGCATCTTTGCAAAGCGTTTCTTGAGAGCAGCAGCAATAATAGCGGCAGGATCACCTGCCACTGGTGACTTTGGCCGTGATCTTATTGGGGTACCACCAGGAGACCTAATAATCAATGACCAATTTCAGTGGTGTATGGAATAAATCTACATATAATAATTTTTTAACACACTGGCTGTCTCACACGAGACGGCCGACTTTTTGGAAAAAAAATGTATATAGTATATATATAAATATTCAATATGCATGAAACAAGGGAAGGTGCTTAAAGATTGGTTGAGAACATGCATAGCTCCTTTGAATAAACGAAAAAGGGATGAGAGAGTGTAAGAATTATAGGGGAATAAGCTTGTATGGGAATAAGATTTTATGGGAATAAGCTTGTATGGGAATAAGCTTATATGGGTGTGAAGCTTGGGTTGTAAATGCTGCAGTGAGGAGGTGGCTAGAGGCAGTGGAGATGTCCTGTCTAAGGGCAATGTGTGGTGTAAATATTATGCAGAGAGGTCTTTGTGGCATTTATGGATTTGGAAAAGGCGTATGACAGGGTGGATAGGGGGGCAATGTGGCAGATGTTGCAGGTGTATGGTGTAGGAGGTAGGTTACTGAAAGCAGTGAAGAGTTTTTACGAGGATAGTGAGGCTCAAGTTAGAGTATGTAGGAAAGAGGGAAATTATTTCCCAGTAAAAGTAGGCCTTAGACAAGGATGTGTGATGTCACCGTGGTTGTTTAATATATTTATAGATGAGGTTGTAAGAGAAGTAAATGCGAGGGTCTTGGCAAGAGGCGTGGAGTTAAAAGATAAAGAATCACACATAAAGTGGGAGTTGTCACAGTTGCTCTTTGCTGATGACACTGTGCTCTTGGGAGATTCTGAAAAGAAGTTGCAGAGATTGGTGGATGAATTTGGTAGGGTGTGCAAAAGAAGAAAATTGAAAGTGAATACAGGAAAGAGTAAGGTTATGAGGATAACAAAAAGATTAGGTGATGAAAGATTGGATATCAGATTGGAGGGAGAGAGTATGGAGGAGGTGAATGTATTCAGATATCTGGGAGTGGACGTGTCAGCAGATGGGTCTATGAAAGATGAGGTGAATCATAGAATTGATGAGGGGAAAAGGGTGAGTGGTGCACTTAGGAGTCTGTGGAGACAAAGAACTTTGTCCTTGGAGGCAAAGAGAGGAATGTATGAGAGTATAGTTTTACCAACGCTCTTATATGGGTGTGAAGCATGGGTGATGAATGTTGCAGCGAGGAGAAGGCTGGAGGCAGTGGAGATGTCATGTCTGAGAGCAATGTGTGGTGTGAATATAATGCAGAGAATTCGTAGTTTGGAAGTTAGGAGGAGGTGCGGGATTACCAAAACTGTTGTCCAGAGGGCTGAGGAAGGGTTGCTGAGGTGGTTCGGACATGTGGAGAGAATGGAGCGAAACAGAATAACTTCAAGAGTGTATCAGTCTGTAGTGGAAGGAAGGCGGGGTAGGGGTCGGCCTAGGAAAGGTTGGAGGGAGGGGGTAAAGGAGGTTTTGTGTGCGAGGGGCTTGGACTTCCAGCAGGCATGCGTGAGCGTGTTTGATAGGAGTGAATGGAGACAAATGGTTTTTAATACTTGACGTGCTGTTGGAGTGTGAGCAAAGTAACATTTATGAAGGGGTTCAGGGAAACCGGCAGGCCGGACTTGAGTCCTGGAGATGGGAAGTACAGTGCCTGCACTCTGAAGGAGGGGTGTTAATGTTGCAGTTTAAAAACTGAAGTGTAAAGCACCCTTCTGGCAAGACAGTGATGGAGTGAATGATGGTGAAAGTTTTTCTTTTTCGGGCCACCCTGCCTTGGTGGGAATCGGCCAGTGTGATAATAAAAATAAAATAACTAGAAGACAGTAGAGCTATAAACAAAAGATGGGGTAATCAGTCCCTCAGCCTTGGAGTTGGTGTGGAGAGCACCGCGGTTGTAGAGATTCTGGAGTACAGGAAAAGAGACTGGCGCTTATATAGGCATCAGCGGATAGGGACATGTAACAGACAAGGGCATAGTCACTGGGGAATTCCGCCTACCAGTGACTATGCCCTCATCTGCTACACGTCCCTATCTGCTGATGCCTATATAAGCGCCAGTCTTTTTTCCTGTGCTCCAGAATCTCTACGGCCACAGTGCTCTCCACACCAACTCCAAGGCTGAGGGACTGATTACCCCATCTTTTGTATATAGCTCTACTGTCTTCTAGTTATGTCCTAGAATCTGTATTGATAAAGCCACTGGATGGCAGAACGTCTATAATAAAGATAACTAGATGTTGCACGTGTGTCTTAACTTTCATCTTGTCGGTATTGTATACCATTCTTGCACAACTTGTCAGACACTGCAGCATCATGGAATCTTGGTTCAGAGGACATCTACATGACCTTCTTCACGGCTACTACAAGTAACCCATCCCTATGGGTATTTGATGAAAGTTAAGACACATGTGAAACCCGATGTTGCACATGTGTCTTAACTTTCATCAAATGTGAAGTTACAAAAAAGTTTTATCAAGAGGGCTGAGGAGGGGTTGTTGACGTGGTTTGGACATTTAGAGAGGATGGAGCAAAATAGGAGTCGCCCTAGGAAAGGTTGGAGGGAGGGGGTAAAGGAGGTTTTGTAAGCGAGGGGCTTAGGCATCCAGCAGGCATGTGCGTTTGTGTGTGTGTTAGATAGGAGTAAAGGCATATGTTTTCTGGAACTTGACAAGCTGTTAGTGTGCACAAGATTACATTTGTGAAGTGATTCAAGAAAACTGGTTAGTCCTGGAGGTGGGAAGTACAGTGGCTGCATCCTGAAGAAGGCGTGGGGATATTTGCAATTTGGAGCGTCATTTGAACTGTACTATCAGTGTGCCTCTGGCAAGACAGTGATAAAGTGAATGATGGTGAAGGTGTTTCTTTTTTCGGTCACCGTACTTCAGAGGGAGGTGGCCAGTGTGTTCAATAAATATAAATACATGCATACATTATAGGTAGTAGGTTGGTAGACAGCAACCGCCCAGGGAGGTACTACCATCCTGCCAAGTGAGTGTAAAATGGAAGCCTGTAATTGTTTTACACAATGGTAGGATTGCTGGTGTCTTCTTTTTCTGTCTCATACACATGCAAGATTTCAGGTACATCTTGCTACTTCTACTTACACTTAGGTTAAACTACACATACATCTTTTTTTTTTTTCAACAAGTCGGTAGTCTCCCACCGAGGCAGGGTGACCCAAAAAAGAAAGAAAATCCCCAAAAAGAAAATACTTTCATCATCATTCAACACTTTCACCACACTCACACATTATCACTGCTTTTGCAGAGGTGCTCAGAATACAACAGTTTAGAAGCATATACGTATAAAGATACACAACATACCCCTCCAAACTGCCAATATCCCAAACCCCTCCTTTAAAGTGCAGGCATTGTACTTCCCATTTCCAGGACATAAGTCTGACTATATGAAAATAACCGGTTTCCCTGAATCCCTTCACTAAATATTACCCTGCTCACACTCCAACAGATCGTCAGGTCTACAAGCATATATACACACACCCCTCTGGGTTTTCTTCTATTTTCTTTCTAGTTCTTGTTCTTGTTTATTTCCTCTTACCTCCATGGGAAAGTGGAACAGAATTCTTCCTCCGTAAGCCATACGTGTTGTAAGAGGCAACTAAAATGCCAGGAGCAAGGGGCTAGTAACCCCTTCTCCTGTATATATTACTAAATGTAAAAGGAGAAACTTTCGTTTCTCCTTTTGGGCCACCCCGCCTCGGTGGGATACGGCCGGTGTGTTGAAAGAAACATGCATACATTTATTCACAATGATTGATGAATTAAATGACATCAACATCAAATTGGTTTTCTAAAATCTGTCAGAAAGTATAGATAAATTCATTGAAGACAGATGATTGAAAATACAACACAAGTTCTCAAAACCTGGTAAACTGCAAGAGTACTCGGAAGACTAAAGAAATATTTGACAGTTTTTAAAAGCAGCAAAACTTTCTCTTGGCCCATTACTAGCAATCTCTACAACCTAGACAAGCAGTATAGTGGTCTGCAATTATCGTGCACTATATTCATAATGATTCTTGAATTCCATATTACATATATACTAACCTGGATACTTTTTTCAACTTGACTTTGTTGAGTCCCTTGAGAACATCAGACATTGACACTGGTCTTGACCTGCTGTTGGAATTAGTCGGAATGTCTATAGGTTCGGTGTGCTTGTTTATGGAATCTTTATTTTGTGCAATTAGTTCAGAGAAAGAGGGTTTTCTAGGAGCATCAGGGTCATCAGATCTAAAGACTTGTTGAATATGGCAGGGAGAGGAGGGGGCGGAGGGGGAGGCAAACCCGGGGGTAAGGGTGGCGGAGGTGGTGGTGGTGGTGGTGGCGTTATAAGTGTAGGACTCGGTGGAGGTGTAGCTGGATGTTTCGTCTGATTTAGTATTATTGAAATTTGTAACCGAAGCTGAGAGAGCTCCTCCTCTAAAAGTGATATTTTAGCTAAGGCATTTGGATCTGTAAATGGAGAAGATGCATGTATTGTTGAGTGATGCAGGCTACTGTGCTGGAAGCTGTCTTGATGGTTCCGAGGAACAAGATTATCTTGTGAGTGGTGCAAATAATTATGGTGCAGAGAGCCGATGTCTGATGTGACACTAAAGGGCGTTGAGGATCTTGGTGTAGTATCACCATTCCCATTGCTGTCTGCCTCACCAGCAAGAGTGAAGAGTTCTGGTGCTGTCTCACATCGTAACAAAATGGGTCTGTGAAAACAAAAATAAGAAAACTGACTACAGCAAATGAGATTACTAAAAGGGTTAAATTATTTTGAAGTATTGTATCTTTTTATTATGTACTTAATAAATGAAACATGCAAAGGACATTCATATACATGTATCTGTGATATGTCTAGAAGACGACCTACAAATACTCCAAGACAATTTTACATTAAATAGGAATATTGATTTTGAAATTAAGTGTTCTTCATAGACAATAAACAATACAGTTATTTGTTATGGCTAAATATTACAACTTATAGCATTACATGGATGTGAAATATGGATTGTGAAAGTTACAGCAAGGAAGAGGCTGGCTGAAGGCAGTGTAGATGTCGTGTCTGAGAGTAATCATTGGTCTTCTGTCTGATGGTAAATTCATTATAATATTTGTATTTAATATAAAGTCAATAATAATTTACAACACATTTTCAGTAAAACTATATGGTAATATGTTACAATATGTAGTAAATATTTCAATACAATCTTAAATACTGCATAAAATTCAAAATTAGTGGACCCACCTAAATTTAGAAGATCTCTCTGTATCAGCCAACCACTTAGAGTCGACGCGACCCTGAGTGTGAGCTGAGTAGAGAGAGTCACATGATGTGCTCAAGCTTCTCAAGGCAACATATCTAAAATACCATTATTATTATTATTATTATTATTAATCAGCAACAAACAGATTCAAATTTCTGGCACTTTTCTAAATAACCTAATTCTAAGTACTGTACTTTTATTGATTTGACATTCTGCTTGCAAATAAGTTTTTTTTTTTCAATCTAATACAGAGGTGACATATAATGGAGACAGTGGAAGAAGTGGGGAGGCAATTTTAAGGTGTTCAGTTCCTTAGTCATGATAGAAGGTGTTCAGTCCCTTTCTTACCAATATAGGGTAACCCAAAGAAGGACTCAATTTACTTTCATCCATTCTCTGTCTTGCTACAAGTACTAAGTCGCCACCTCTACATCTGACATCTTTCTTCTTCTCAGGATTTCCCTTCCTTAAAGGAGTACCCACACCTCAAATATCATCCAAACATCTTAACATCTCACTGAGAACAAGAACGTGTGAAGAGTGAATTTGTTAATTAGGCATATTTCTTTCTATAATGACCATCTCCCACTAAGGAATAATGATAAAAAGAAACATTCACCATTATTCATTCAACAGCTGTCTTACCAGAAGTGTGTAAACATCCTCTTCTATCAATGTATGTAGTAGGCATATATAATATGGAAAGATGGAGAGCAACAACACAAAACCCATACATAAATGAAGCAAAACAAAAATGCACACCAAGGGCTACAATACAGCAATGTTTAGTGAGGATAACAACCAGCCCTTACTTCATGCAATAGATGTATTCCAGACCCATAGCAGTTGTACTAAACTCAATCAGGACATGAACACTTAATTATGCATAAGAATATTCAAGAAGGTTCATAAACAGCACTGACCTCATACAACATACGTATATCGCACATATAACATTACTGGGACATCACATAATAGCAAACATGAATGAAAAAGACCCAGTAAGAGCAAAAAAAAAAAAAAAAAAAAAAAAAAAAAAAAAAAAAAAAAAAACTGTATTTCATCCACTTCTATGCTTGTTTCCTTCAGCAGGTTGCTTGGAAAATGAGGAAACATGATTAAGTCAAAGAATGTGTAAGATAAAAATAAATAATGATAATTAATTACCTTAAATAAGGCCTTTGAACAGCCTTCAAAGGTAAGGCAGAGCCCAGGATGCGAACAAGCGATCTCTTGCGCAAAGAAGAACTCAGTATCTCTTCTCTCAGTCTCAGGACTAGTGGGCCCATGTGAAGAGTTTCCAGCACCATCCACACTCCATCACTAATATCCAGCCAAAGTTCTTCTGCCACTCCAACCAGCATTGCCCACATGCCACTCATCCTGTCTGGGCAAAAAAAAAAAAAAAAATGATTATCATCATCATCTTTTCCTGACAATAACATGCTTGGTCACTGTCAAATTTACACTAGTAATAAAGTTTACATTTCAATTAAATTTAATAATTACAAGATAGCACAGGCATTTTAAGGGCATTTTATACATTACACAGAAAGTGTGAAAACCCAACTTACATACAATATAAAACTAAAAATTATGAGTAATCTAATAGCAGAAATTTGTTTTATTCATCTACACCAGTGTTTTTCAACCAGGGAACCACGGAACACTGGTGTGCCATTGATAGTTGTGATAAATGGTTTAAAACCGACATTTATGCAACATATGGGAATCTTTATTGAAGAAATGTTTTGCCATACAGTGGCTTCATCAGTCCAATACAAAGCAGAAAGGTGTAAGGAGACGAGGAGTTTGAGGTAATCAGTCCCTCAGCCTGGAGTTGATGTGTTCAGTCCATCAATCTTGTAGAAAGTACAGCATAGGGCCGTAGAAGTGGCTTATGTACTGTAGTCAGGTGAGTTGAAGCAGGAGGCGGTGGGGTCATAGTGGAACCATCCACTAGTGTAAGTAGGTCTTTGTCCAAAGGTTGAAAAGTGTTGAAGAATTCCTTGTGTCAAGATCCCATGATGTTGAAGTCTGACAAATGTGATACATAAATGGTTTAAAACTGACAAGGAATTCTTCAACACTTGTCCAACTTTTGGATGAAAACCTACTTACACTAGTGGATGGCCCCACTATGACCCCGTCTCCTGCTTCAACTCGCCTGAAATGAAAAAATCAGACAATAAATAACGGAGTTCACTTCTCAGCCATTAGCCACCCGTTAGCGGTATACAGCCTCTCCTCACTTAACGATGTACTACTTGTTTACTGACAGCTCAGACTTACGATGGGCTCTCTGACCAGTATTTATACCTAAATAATGTATATTAGAGCTGATTTCCTCAATTCTGTTTATTACAATATACAGTACACTGCTGTATAAACATTTAAAAATATACCAGAAATGTCATAAATGGTGTGAAAGTGACATTAAAACAATATCAAAGATGGCTGACAAATTCACTACCATTACAGTATGCTACTCGTTTAGCGATGAATTCATTTACCGATGGGGCCTTAGGTCCCTATCTCCATCATTAAGTGAGGAGAGGCTGTATTTTCGTATGGTTTTTATGGTTGTATTCTCGTGTTTTTGGTCCCATTTGATAGAATGGAAGATATATTACAGAAACAGATATGATTTTGATGGGTTTCACGACGAAAAAATACCTTGAAATTGAGCTCAAAGTAGCGGAAATGTTCGATTTTTGCCAATATTCAATGAACTTTCTTGTGTTAGTCAAGTAGGTTAACTTTATTAACCCTTAAACGGTCCAAACAGATCGACGTTCAAATTCGTAGTGCTACAAAAGTAGATCTACTTTTTTTTACATATTTTCAAATATAACAAAAAAAATGTAGATAAAAGTTTTTTTTACACGTTTTCACATGTAAAACAAAAAAAAAAAAGATCTACATTTTTTTACATACTTTCAGATGTTGAAAAAACGTATATATACGTTTGGACCATTTAAGGGTTAAGTTTATTCTAACCTAACCACTCTGCAATCCAGCAAACTCAATAATCCGGCACATTACAGGTCCCAATTATGCCGGATTTGTGATGGCTGACTTGTATTATTATTATTATTATTATTATTAAGACTAAGCGCTCTTGGGAAGTGGTTCTAATAGGGGTGCCACAGAATAAGAGGGTGTTATCACTGAAAAAAGGCTGAAAACCACTGATCTACAAGAATCTCCTTCCAGTAGTTTATACCCAGATGAGTACTGTATATTTATTATTTACCCAAATCAGTGGGAAGCACTAAATTCATAGTGCCTGGGAAATGGTAGGCATTCAGGTTCCCTCCAAAGAAGGGGAGTGCAAGTCCAGCAAGTACTATATAGTTACTTGAAAGATTCACAAAATTGGTACACAATATCAAATCTTCTCTCTGAATACTGTACAATAATACATGATATTATTATATTAACTGGGACATGCTAAACTTGCAGGATTTCATACAGCATCTGAATAAACCATACCACGGGTGGGGTTTGAACCCACGGTCAGAGAGTCTCAAAACTCAAGCATCTGAATAATATAAAACAACTAATTTTATTTGAGACTGTAAACCTGATTACATATTTACAATAACTAGCCCATTTAAGGTATAATCTTCCCTCATTCTGTCTTACAGTGACACAGTCATTACAGTACACTGAATTGTACATTTGTAGCTCTATTTTCAAAATATCACGAAGAAAGTCTCGTCAATATTAAAAGCATATCTCTTGGTAGTCGTCCAAGTAGAAACCTTAATCATCTCATTGTCAACAGTTATTGCAAGAAACCACTTCTGAATGGGAAATGACAAAAGTTGACATCTGCAAACAAGGATTATGCTAAGCCAGTTGTGACCGAGTCTGATCAGGATCCAAGTCTACTGGTAGCTCCCTATGACCAAGTCTGATCTGGATAGAAATCTACTGGCAGCTCCCTATGACCAAGTCTGATCTGGATCCAAGTCTACTGGTAGCTCCCTATGACCAAGTCTGATCTGGATCCAAGTCTACTGGCAGCTCCCTATGACCAAGTCTGATCTGGATCCAGGTCTACTGGTAGCTCCCTATGACCAAGTCTGATCTGGATCCAAGTCTACTGGCAGCTCCCTATGACCAAGTCTGATCAGGATCCAAGTCTACTGGCAGCTCCCTATGACCAAGTCTGATCTAGATCCAAGTCTACTGGCAGCTCCCTATGACCAAGTCTAATCTAGATCCAAGTCTACTGGCAGCTCCCTGTGTTGTGGAACTCTGAAAATCACTACAATCATGTAAAGGCTGCCTATGGGAAAGAACAAGTAACAAAAACAATAGAAAACATTTCTTCAGTCTTGGGGCTGTCAGAGAATGAAATAGATTGACAAGGAAATGGTGGAGGAAGATCACCCTGTTTACAGAGAATGAAGAATTGGTACAAGAGGGCCCAACTAGGTTAAGAATCGGTGAATTCATTGACAGTAATTTAAGACAAGATGAGACAGCTGGGAACTGACCAGCTGCAACTGCAAATAAGTGAGTACTGTTCACAGGATACTGAAAGCCAGCCAAACTACAAAATTCTGAGAGCCAGCCAGACCATAGGATGCTGAGAGCCAGTCAGATCACAGGATGCTGAGAGAGCTAGCCAGACAATAGGATGCTGAGAGCCAGTCAGACCACAGGATACTGAGAGCCAGTCTGACCACAGGATGCTGAGAGCCAGTCAGACCACAGGATGCTGAGAGCCAGTCAGACTACAGGATGCTGAGAGCCAGTCAGACCACAAGATGCTGAGAGCCAGTCAGACCACAGTATGCTGATAGCCAGTCAGACCACAGGATACTGAAAGCCAGCCAGACCACAGGATGCTGAGAGCCAGCCAGACTACAGGATGCTGAGAGCCAGTCAGACTACAGGATGCTGAGAGCCATACCACAGGATGCTGAGAACCAGCCATACCACAGGATGCTGAGAGCCAGTCAGACCACAGGATGCTGAGAGCCAGTCAGACCACAGGATGCTGAGAGCCAGTCAGACCACAGGATGCTGAGAGCCAGTCAGACCACAGGATGCTGAGAGCCAGCCAGACTACAGGATGCTGAGAGCCAGTCAGACTACAGGATGCTGAGAGCCATACCACAGGATGCTGAGAACCAGCAACCACAGGATGCTGAGAGCCAGTCAACCACAGGATGCTGAGAGCCAGTCAGACCACAGGATGCTGAGAGCCAGTCAGACCACAGGATGCTGAGAGCCAGTCAGACCACAGGATGCTGAGAGCCAGTCAGACCACAGGATGCTGAGAGCCAGCCAGACTACAGGTTGCTGAGAGCCAGTCAGACTACAGGATGCTGAGAGCCAGCCAGACTACAGGATGCTGAGAGCCAGTCAGACTACAGGATGCTGAGAGCCATACCACAGGATGCTGAGAACCAGCCATACCACAGGATGCTGAGAGCCAGTCAGACCACAGGATGCTGAGAGCCAGTCAGACCACAGGATGCTGAGAGCCAGTCAGACCACAGGATGCTGAGAGCCAGTCAGACCACAGGATGCTGAGAGCCAGTCAGACTACAGGATGCTGAGAGCCATACCACAGGATGCTGAGAACCAGCCATACCACAGGATGCTGAGAGCCAGTCAGACCACAGGATGCTGAGAGCCAGTCAGACCACAGATGCTGAGAGCCAGTCAAGACCACAGGATGCTGGGAGCCAGTCAGACCACAGGATGCTGAAACCAGTCAGACCACAGGATACTGAGAGCCAGCCAGACCACAGGATGCTGGAGAGCAGTCAGCCACAGGATGCTGAGAGGCCTACCACAAATGATGAGAAAGCCATCACCCCAGGATGCTGAAGCCCTCAGACCACAGGATCTGAGAGCCGTCAGACCACAAGAAAGCTGAGAGCCATTTAGACCACAGATGCTGAAAGCCAGTCAGACCACAGGATCTGAAGCCATAACCACAGGATGCTGAGAACCAGCCAACCACAGGATGCTGAGAGCCATCAACCACAGGATGCTGAGAACCAGCATACCACAGGGTGCTGAGAGCCAGTCAGCCACAGGATGCTGAGAGCCAGTCAGACCACAGATGCTGAGAGCCAGTCAGACCAACAGGATGCTGAGAGCCAGTCAGACCACAGGATGCTGAGAGCCAGTCAGACCACAAGATGCTGAGAGCCAGCCAGACACAGATGCTGAGGAGTCAGACACAGATCTAGACATACCACAGGATGCTGAGAGCCAGTCCAGACCAAGGATGCTGAGAGCCAGTCAGACCACAGGATGCTGAGGCCAGTCAGACCACAGGATGCTGAGAGCCATCAGACCACAGGATGCTGAGAGCCAGTCAGACTACAGGATGCTGAGAGCCATACCACAGGATGCTGAGAACCAGCCATACCACAGGATGCTGAGAGCCAGTCAGACCACAGGATGCTGAGAGCCAGTCAGACCACAGGATGCTGAGAGCCAGTCAGACCACAGGATGCTGAGAGCCAGTCAGACTACAGGATGCTGAGAGCCATACCACAGGATGCTGAGAACCAGCCATACCACAGGATGCTGAGAGCCAGTCAGACCACAGGATGCTGAGAGCCAGTCAGACCACAGGATGCTGAGAGCCAGTCAGACCACAGGATGCTGAGAGCCAGTCAGACCACAGGATGCTGAGCCAGTCAGACAGCAGGATACTGAGAGCCAGTCAGACCACAGGATGCTGAGAGCCAGTCAGACCACAGGATGCTGAGAGCCAGCCAGACCACAGGATGCTGAGCAGAGCCAGTCAGACCACACAGGATGCTGAGAGCCAGTCAGACCACAGGATGCTGAGAGCCAGTCAGACTACAGGATACTGAGAGCCATACCACAGGATGCTGAGAACCAGCCATACCACAGGATGCTGAGAGCCAGTCAGACCACAGGATGCTGAGAGCCAGTCAGACCACAGGATGCTGAGAGCCAGTCAGACCACAGGATGCTGAGAGCCAGTCAGACTACAGGATGCTGAGCCAGTCAGACAGCAGGATACTGAGAGCCAGTCAGACCACAGGATGCTGAGAGCCAGTCAGACCACAGGATGCTGAGAGCCAAACCTCAGGATGCTCACCAGCATCAAGAAACCTCCCATTGGGGTCACATAGATCAAGAGCCCCTCACGGGTGACCAGAAACCTTCCTTGAGAAGCCAGGAAAGAATAGCCCCTGATTCCCTGGATCAAGAGCCACTCACCGGCACCAAACCACCTCCCTTGACGAGTCATAACAAAATAAATAAAATAGGTACAAGAAACAGGCCCTGAGGGAGTCACCATCCCCCCCCCAGGCCACACACTTACGTCTGCTTCATATATACTTAATGCTTTTCACCTACACTGTGATGCAGCCGGGAACACTCATGCACACCATTAAAACTGTAAAAATTGAAAAATTCTCACTTTAGTTAGCATCTGTTTACATCTTTGCCGTCTGAAGTGACGTCACTAATGAACCGTTGTGTCTTTATTTCAGAGTCATGTAATAGCGGAAATGACACATTTATCTCTTCATTCATTATTATTTCCTTATTTTTACAGACTTTTGTTCTACGAAATACTCAATTATTGACATTTCTTTGACACCTTATTATAAAAAATTGTTTGCCTTATATAAAGACAAAAATAATCTCTTATGTAAATCGACCAGCAAAAAACTTGTTTTTTTTTTTTTGAGATTTTTTTTTGGTAGAAAGTAAAAAAAAAAAAATAATTTTGCCTTTAAATCCATAATGGAATGATTTAGTATCTTCATCGCCTTGATAAAGCCTCTCAGCTCAGGCTTATGCTATAAATATGGAATAAAGTCATGGAATACACCATATGAGATTGCATGACAGGAAGTACCACGTGATGGCTGGGTTAAATTAACATATTTTATTCTCGTCATTAACCTTAAGGGTTAGTAACCCAGGATAACCCAATAAAATCAATATGTCTGTCTTGATTCCATTAGGAACTTCTGGTCCTCTCTCAACATCAGCCTATCTAGATGACAAGTGAGACATATATCTATTCCGAAACAAGTCGGTTTAGAGATACCTAACTGTTGCACATGTCTATCAACTTGTCCGTATTATATACCATTATCACATTCATCCTATCTAGATCTTATTGTAGCTCTCTTGTGTCCTTATCAGAATTTATTTGATGGCCTATTTTAGTGTCAGCGGCACTCTTTTATGGCGCTATTTATTCCCTCATCTCTGTCTTGCTTGTATTTTGTGAAAAAAATAAGGGACCCAATACTGACCCCTGTGAAACACCACTAGTAAAAGGTACTCATTTTGATTTCTCCTCATTTATGCAAACTATCTGTTGCCTATCAGTCAATCATGCCTTAACTATGGAGAAAATTCTCCTATACTATGTACTGCTACTTTCTTCAGCAATCATCTGTGTTGGATTTTTAAGGCCTAAGTGTAAGCCATATACACAGTGTTGTAGTTGTAAATCACCTGGCGGGCGAAACGTCTTAATAAATATACTTACGACGACGTAAGCTTCTCTCTTATGTGCGAGTTAGTGTCTATTTATGGTTTCTGTCACCGCCCACAGGATGGGTATGGGGTGCATAATAAACATATTAAACTGTCACCGTAGGCTCAACAAAAATTACAGACAGAAATGATGAATAAATTCATACAATTTGGTGTGTCACCCATGTGTCTGTTCTTAGCTACGGTTGGTCATGAGGCATCAAACCTGATTACCTCCCATTCCCCAGACGAGCTGTGTGACCTCACCCCTACGGGTTAGAGCTTCCCCGTGCACAAAATAAGTCGCACACACCACGACCTGTTTGTTTGCTGGCATTATATATGAACCAGTATGTTAATAGCACTGTGTGAGACATGGCATTATTGAAGAAGACGTTTCACCCACCAGTACATCCCTGGTGGGCGAAACGTCTCAATAAAATACCATACACCAGATCTATTACATTTTATTTAACACTACCACTGACTATGTATACAACAAATGTAATGATTTTTTTGTGACTAAAATATCAATTCACTTTAACAAGGCATCACTTCTAACCGTGACAAAGAGTTGCATGTGGTTGATCTGTCCATCCCTCACACCAGGATACACGCCACACTCCTTCACTACACTCACGCACGTGGGGACACTCTATATATGGATTACAAGGTAGACATGAGAGATCAAGAGGCCAGCAACCATCTATCTCAAGCATTTAGATAGTGAAAGAATTTATTCTAAATATTAACCCAGGAGGATTGCTAACCCATGAAAGCCAAACAGTGAGGTTTATTTCCATTTTTTAAGGTCGTCCCCAAGAATGGAGGAACACTGCAGCAGACCTACTAGCCCAAACTAGGTAAGTCTTTCTCTAAGCCAACAATAGGCAATATGAAAACGGTATACAATACGGGCTACGGTGAAAAGCTCTGTTCTACAAGGCACAATACTCGCTCCCATCTTGTTCCTCATCCTCATATCTGACATAGACAAGGATGTCAGCCACAGCACCGTGTCTTCCTTTGCAGATGACACCCGAATCTGCATGACAGTGTCTTCCATTGCAGACACTGCAAGGCTCCAGGCGGACATCAACCAATTCTTTCAATGGGATGCAGAAAACAATATGAAGTTCAACGACGAGAAATTTCAATTACTCCGATATGGTAAACGTGAGGAAATTAAAACTTCGTCAGAGAATAAAATAAATTCCAACCACACAACAGAGCGAAAAACTAACGTCAAAGACCTGGGAGTGATCATGTCGGAGGATGTCACCTTCAAGGACCATAACATTGTATCAATCGCATCTGCCAGAAAAATGACAGGATGGATAATGAGAACCTTCAAAACTAGGGATGCCAAGCCCAATATGACACTCTTCAGGTCGCTTGTTCTATCTAGGCCGGAATATTGCTGCACACTGACTCACGAAATCGTAATGACACGATTGCAAACAAACTGTGGAAAATTGCATTTACTTGGATGTATCATTATATACATAACAGTAAATGAACATAGATAATTATTATTTATCAGTTAGACAAGTAGGAATTTGGGACACCTAGGTCGCAAAAAATGTCCCCCTTCGATACCTACCACTGTCATATCCACAAGTTGCTCTGAAATATGGATCCCAGGTTACAACCTATACAGATGTGACAGAGTGAACAGGCAAAAGGGGGGGGAGGGGGTTGGCCTGTACATTGCAGAGTCACTTGTTTGCACAGAACTGCTTAATGCCTCAAATGATGTAGTGGAAGTTTTAGCAGTAAAGGTCGAGAACCAAAACCTAGTCATTGTGGTAGTCTACAAGCCTCCGGATGCAACATCCCAGCAATTCCAGGAACAGCTGTTAAAAATTGACCACTGTCTGGAAAATCTTCCAGCTCCTGCACCCAACATCTTGCTCCTGGGGGATTTCAACTTAAGGCACCTAAAATGGAGGAATATAGCAAATAATATTGTTGCAGTAATAAACACCAGGAGGCAGCTCTGATGAAAAACTCACACTCGCACGAGCTTTTAAATCTCTGCACAAAATTCAATTTAAACCAGCAATTAATAGAGCCTACTAGATGGAGAATACACTAGACCTCATCTTCACTAACAATGATGATCTGATAAGAAATGTCACCATATCAAAAACAATATACTCAGATCACAACATAATTGAGGTTCAGACATGTATGCGTGGAGCCCCAGACCGACAAAATGAGGACTAGTCACGAGGGAGCATTCACCAAATTCAACTTCAATAACAAAAACATAAAGTGGGACCAAGTAAACCAAGTCCTAAACCGATATAAGCTGGGATGATACACTAAGCAACACAGACCCCAACTTATGCCTAGAACAGATTAACTCGGTGGCACTCGATGTATGCACAAGGCTTATTCCTCTAAGAAAAAGGAGGAGTAGATGTAAAATAGAAAAGAGACAGGCGCTCCCTTTACAGGCGACGGAAAAGAATAACAGAGCGGCTAAAAAGAGGTCAATATATCTGAAATGCGTAGGGAGACACTGGTCAGAGAAATAGCAAGCATCGAACTTAAGCTAAAAGAATCCTTTAGGAGTCAGGAATCGCGGGGAAGAACTAAAAGCCATAAATGAAAATCGAAAGAAACCCAAAGTATTTCTTCTCCTATGCCAAATCAAAATCGGAGAACAACGTCCAGTATTGGGCCCCTACTTAAACAAGATGGGTCCTACACAGATGACAGCAAGGAAATGAGTGAGCTACTCAAGTCCCAATATGACTCAGTTTTTAGCAAGCCGCTAACCAGACTGAGAGTCGAAGATCAAAATGAATTTTTTATGAGAGAGCCACAAAATTTGATTAAACACAAGCTATCCGATGTTATCCTGACGCCAAATGACTTCGAACAGGCGATAAATGACATGCCCATGCACTCTGCCCCAGGGCCAGACTCATGGAACTCTGTGTTTCATCAAGAACTGCAAGAAGCCCCTATCACGAGCCTTTTCCATCCTATGGAGAGGGAGCATGGACACGGGGGTCGTCCCTCAGTTACTAAAAACAACAGACATAGCCCCACTCCACAAAGGGGGCAGTTAAAGCAATTAGCAAAGAACTACAGACCAATAGCACTAACATCCCATATCATAAAAATCTTTGAAAGGGTCCTAAGAAGCAAGATCACCACCCATCTAGAAAACCCATCAGTTACACAACCCAGGGCAACATGGGTTTAGAACAGGTCGCTCCTGTCTGTCTCAACTATTGGATCACTACGACAAGGTTCCTAAATGCACTAGAAGACAAAAAGAATGCAGATGTAATATATACAGACTTTGCAAAAGCCTTCGACAAGTGTGACCATGGCGTAATAGCGCACAAAATGCGTGCTAAAGGAATAACAGGAGAAAAGTCGGTCGATGGATCTATAATTTCCTCACTAACAGAACACAGAGAGTAGTCGTCAACAGAGTAAAGTCCGAGGCAGCTACGGTGAAAAGCTCTGTTCCACAAGGCACAGTACTAGCTCCCATCTTGTTCCTCATCCTCATATCCGACATAGACAAGGATTGTCAGCCACAGCACCGTGTCTTCCTTTGCAGATGACACCCGAATCTGCATGACAGTGTCTTCCATTGCAGACACTGCAAGGCTCCAGGCGGACATCAACCAAATCTTTCAGTGGGCTGCGGAAAACAATATGAAGTTCAACGATGAGAAATTTCAATTACTCAGATATGGTAAACATGAGGAAATTAAATCTTCATCAGAGTACAAAACAAATTTGGCCACAAAATAGAGCGAACACCAACGTCAAAGACCTGGGAGTGATTATGTCGGAGGATCTCACCTTCAAGGACCATAACATTGTATCAATCGCATCTGCTAGAAAAATGACAGGATGGATAATGAGAACCTTCAAAACTAGGGAGGCCAAGCCCATGATGACACTCTTCAGGTCACTTGTTCTATCTAGGCTGGAATATT